TCACTATAAGTCGCATGATTTCAATGGACCCAGATAAGTATAAGAGGCTTGCGGGGGGGGGGGGGGGGGGGAGCTGCATGCATACGATTTTTTTACCTTAGTGTAGAGAATGCATTAAAGTGGTTCTAAAGGCTGAAGATTTAAAAAACAAAAAAACAGACCTTTATGCTGCCCCCCCCCCCCCACAGCCCCCATTATACTCACCTGAGCCCAATCTTGATCCAGTGATGTGCACTGGTGTCTCAGCTCTCCTGGGTTTCTCGGTCTCCCTCTCTCCTCATTGGCTGAGACACCAGTGGGAGCCATTGGCTTGCGCTTGCTGTCAATCACAGCCAGTGAGAAAGGGAGCAGAGGGCGGGACTGAGCGGCGCTCTGTGTAGGACTGACTGCCCCCAGAGCAAGCAACATGCACCAAGCATGGGGGAGGAGCCAGGAGCACCAGCAGAGACCTGAGGAAGGAGGATCAGGAATGCTCTGTCCAAAAAAACATTTGCACAGAGCAGGCAAGTATACATTTATTATAGTAGTGGTGACACTGTGACTCTACTGCTAGGGTGACAGTATGAAGAAAAAAGCAAACAAGAATAAAAAATTGTAATTTTTTTTTTTTTTTAAATTATAATTTTTGGTTATAAACTAATTTGGGTTACATGTGAATGATCACAGAGGTCACATGGTGCAAGGCTATTCACAACAGCCTTGTACCATGTGACAAGCTGTGACCAATCACAGCTCACACAGTATTTCTCAATGGCTGCAAGAATGCAGCCAGAGAGAAGGAGAAATGATTGCTTTTACAGCCTTTATGGGTGTAAAAGCAAAAAAAAAAAAAAAAAAAAAAAAAAAATCATCCTCCACAAGTAGTACGGTGTCACTATGGTGACACTGTACTGCTAGGGTGACAGTATGGAAAAAAAAAGCAAAAAAAAAAAGCAAATATAAAAAAATAAAATAAAAATTTGATTTTTTTAAAAAAAAATTATAAAATTTGTTACAAACTACCGTATTTTCCGGCGTATAAGGCGACAGGGTGTATAGGACGAACCCCTAATTTTCCAGTAAAACATAGGTTTTGGGCTATACTCGCCGTATAAGACTACCCCCCTTCCGAGGCAACACCATTTAAAGACATCAGATTTTTTTAATTGAAATGTTTATGACTTACCGGTACTTAAAATCCTTCAAAATCCTCATGTTCATCCTCTGACATCATAAGTTCATGAATGACATCTTGTGTTACAATTGTAAGACAGTCATCATATGGATCAAATTCCAAATCGGATGGTTACCGCTGGATGTGCAGTAATACGGCGGCTTCGGCTACATACAGTATACAGTATATATACAGCCCGCTGGATGTGCGGTAATACGGCAGCTTCGGCTACATACAGTATACAGTATATATACAGCCCTCTGGATGTGCGGTAATACGGCAGCTTCGGCTACATACAGTATATATACAGCCCGCTGGATGGGCAGTAATGTACATACAGTATACCGTGCTGAGCCAAGCTGGCTCAAAAACAAATGTCCTTATGATAGATTAATCTGTCAGCCCGCTGGATGTGCGGTATATACAGTATACTGAGCCAAGCGCTTTCAAAACGTACCGGTACGTCCCTACGGTAATCAGCCCGCTGGATGCGTGTATGTACGGTAGCTGCGGCTACATACAGTATACACTGGGCCAATCACGGCGAGCGATGTATTCTACTAATGAATACAAAGCCTGCTCGGATTGGCTGAGGTTGTGACATCATCAGCCCACCTCTCTGACTCAGCCAATCCAAGCAGGCTTTGTATTCATTAGTAGAATACATCGCTCGCCGTGATTGGTCCAGTGTATACTGTATGTAGCCTCAGCTACCGTACATACGCATCCAGCGGGCTGATTACAGTAGGGACGTACCGGTACATTTTGAAACCGCTTAGCTCAGCGCAGTATACTGTATATACCGCACATCCAGCAGGCTGACAGATTCATCTCTCATAGGGACATTTGTTTTGAGCCAGCTTGGCTCAGCGCGGTATACTGTATGTACATTACCACAAATCCAGCCAGCTTGACCCAAACAAACTCAAGGTTCACATTTTATACCCCGCGTATAAGACGACCCCCAATTTTTGGGGTATATTTTTAAGTATAAAAAGTAGTCTTATACGCCAGAAAATACTGTAATTTGTTTTTTTTTGTTTTTTTTTTTTACTAAAAAGATAACTGAATAAATTTTGGCCAAGATTTATGAAGAAAGACTTTTTTCAAAATTTGGACTTTCATTTATATAGCAAAAAAAAAAAAAAAATCCCAGTGGTGAATAAATACCACCAAAGGCGTTATCTGTCTCAAAAAAAGCTAAAAAATTCATATGAGTACAATGCTGCATGACGGCGCAATTGTCATTCAAAGTGTGATAGCGCTGAAAGCTGAAAATTGGCCTGGACTGGAAGGGGGTGAAATTTTCCTGACTTGAAGTGGTTAACCCCTTGACGCCGGCACCTCCCGGCTCTGTAAGAGTTTAGGGTCATGTGACCGGCATGATGCGCCGTCACATGATCGGGAAAGGTCTTGATCGAAAGTGGAGATCGGAACCTTTCCGTGAGTACCGGACATGTGTGCTGAGAATGTGCAGGGCGCGTGTTCTCAGCACGTCTTTTAAAAAAAAAAAAAAAAGAAAAAAGCAAATGTGTGGCCGCTTGGCGTCTAGGCCCAGACGCCGGAAGGCCGCACATTTGCGTTCTGCCAGCGTGAAGAGGTTAATATTACTTTCCGGAGAAAAAAAAAAACAAAAAACACAAAAAAAAAACATTTTCTACATTGTACTTTAACCATTTCACAAAGCCTGCTGATTATTCTGTATGTACAAAAAATAAATAAAAATCACACAAACGCTTAAACTAGCTCAAATGTTGGTGTATTTTTATGCAATTTTACAATTAAAGGCAGCGCAGATGAAGTACAATGCATTACACTTCAATTCATTCACTACACATGCAGCCTGTGACATCTACAAGTACAGTGCGCAAATGCGGGATGACCCTACACTCCTCTTCAGGCTTCAGAAGGCATCCAGGTAAACCCAAGTGAGCGATAAATCCAGGACTTGTAAAGACGCACACATTCTACGCTGCCCCAAAAGATGGAGGCTTGAGGAAGAAGCATTTAGTAAGTTACAGAACCATCGTGTGAGACTGTACTTCATTCTTAATACAGTAAGTGAAGGAAAGGAGGCAGTCCAATAAATAGGCATGGGGGTTCGGCAAACCTTTGTCAGTCCAGCTGATGTCGGGGGTTCTGGTTTTGCTAGGAAAGAAGCTGCCTTGGCAAGCAGAAAGCTTGGAGAGTGGTAAGTACAAGAGGTAAGTACACAGTGGAGGAAGAAAGAACCATAGCTCCCAGGTCCTCTGTTTGGCTGCTGGCCAACTGAAGCTCCTCGTGCATAGGCAAAACACCCAACCACACTCCAATGACATTGGTGGAGAGGGGGGGGGGGGGGGGGGATTTATTAGAACTGGTGCACTCAAAATCTGGTGCAGCTGTGCATGGGAGCCAATCAGCTTCTAGCTTTAGCGTGTTCAGTTAAGATTTAATAAAAGCCGGAAGCTGATAGGTTACTATGTACAGCTGCACCAGATTGTGTGTGCACCACTGTTAGTAAACCTCCTAAATTAGGAGGGGATTTGCACAGACATACAGAAAGTCAGTACTGACCTTCCCTGCACTAATGCAATTCAACCTATCCTGGTTTGGACGAAACGCGTCAGTCAGTGACGATCTGGGCAACTTTTTTTTTTGGCTGGAACAATAAAGTTACGTTTTATTTGAGGTCACTGGAGTGTTGTTGGATATTTTGTTTTCATAGCCAAATACACAGAGTAGAGTTGCTCCCGGCAGCACAGGCCAGCTGCCGGGCGGAGGCGGCAGCACAGGCCAGCTGCTGGGCGGAGGCGGCAGCAGCACAGGCCAGTTGCATTGACTGTCCTATGAGGCTGCATAACCCCTGACCCTCTGTCTGTACAGTGCTCATCACATGGACCCTACCAAAGAAAAAAAAAATAAAAATACTCTAGCAATACACACTGAATTGAGCATGTGCAGAGTGATTCCTAGTGCTCGGTACTATCAGGAGATGGATTAGGGACAGCAGCGGCCAGCTGCTAGGCAGCACCGGCCAGTTGCTTGGTAGAGAAGAGCAGCTAGTTGCCAGCTAGCTCAATGGTTATTTGGGCAAAAATAAAAAATGTTAAGGGTTACTGGTCAAGAAGAAATAACAGGAAATGCAGAGTCTGGTTGGTTAACACAGTACACCTTTTTAAGTCCTCAAACACAATGCCCTGTGCCCAGAGTACATGAACATCACAGCAGAGAACTAGGAATGTGCACCTGTGCGCACCGCTAGTTCTCAGATCTTGACAGAGAAGTCAAAGTGACAGTCAAGTTAAAGGACGGAACATGCTGGGTCTGGAAGTCTGAGCTCGACTGGCCTCTTCATAGGAGTTAAAGCTTAAAAAAAAAAAAAAAAAAAAAAAAAAGGAACCGAGGCCAAGTGGACTGACAAAGGTTTGTGGAACCATGATTTATTTATACAATGTTAAACACTTACAGCACTGTTCAGGAATAAATGCACAGATCTGAAAGCGAGATTTCACCAAAAAAAAAAGCTGCCATTTTCCCTCCCTCCAATATACTCCCATTAGAACCTGCGTTAAAAACAAAGCACCCATGTGAACAAATGATCCCCTTCGGCGTCCTTTAGGACAGGAAAACTGCAGGAGAGGGTTGAAAGCCACAGCCGCTGATAATTTATTGTGAGTAGAGTTCGGGACTACGGGAGCAGAGCTGAGATCCGGGAGGCCGCGGGAGGTAAAAACGACATCACTGAGGAGGATCAGACCAAGGGCGGGTTACAGTGCGGAGCCATGAGAACGAATGCAGAACGGAAGTCGTGCAAGAGAGTCGGCCTTGTGATGGAGTGTCACCCCCGGCATCTCTAGGACTATCCTTACGCCAAAGCCAGCACTGGGGAGAGAGAAAAAAAGTGGACTCATTTAAAGGGCAAGAACACATTATTTCAGGTACTTATATAGCGCTGTCACTTTACATATATATTGTACATTCACATCAGTCCCTAACCCTCAAGGGGCGTACAATCTAAGGTCCCTAACCCTCAAGGGGCGTACAATCTAAGGTCCCTAACTCACATTCATACATACACATACTAGGGACAATTTAGACAGGATCCAATTCACCTCCCAGCATGTCTTTGGAGTGTAGGAGGAAACCGGAGTACCCGGAGGAAACCCACGGAGGTACAGGGAGAACATGCAAACTCCAGGCAGGTGGTGCTGTGGTTGGGATTCGCACCAACGACCCCTAGTAATGCCAGACAGACGTGCTAACCATTTAACCACTGCGCTGCCCCATAGTAGATTCACATTCTAGATTCCATATCCAGCTCATTTGACTGTAAACCCTTCCATATACCCAGTGAAGCGACTGGCCTCAGGTGATGCACAGATGAACCAAATCCTCCTACATAAGTTGTACCTGTTTATCTGCTTTACTCTTCTCTACATCCAAACTCCACAATTTATAGAGCTGGTCTGAGCACTGAGTACCAGTGTGCAAAAGTGTATTTGCTTTGGAAGAATAGTTGCTGAATGTTTCTGCGTCATATAAAATTTTTAGAATAGTTTTTTTTATTAGAATGGGGTGCCTCAAAAAACTGTCCATAATTTTAAAGTGTGCCTTGACTGAAAAAAGTTTGAGAAACACTGTACTATGGTTAGTATGATGACCAATAGTGCCCCATCATTGGTGTCAGTGGGAGGAATAGTGCCCCATCATTGGTGTCAGTGGAGGAATAGTGCCCCATCATTGGTGTCAGTGGGAGGAATAGTGCCCCATCATTGGTGTCAGTGGGAGGAATAGTGCCCCATCATTGGTGTCAGTGGGAGGAATAGTGCCCCATCATTGGTGTCAGTGGGAGGAATAGTGCCCCATCATTGGTGTCAGTGGGAGGAATAGTGCCCCATCATTGGTGTCAGTGGGAGGAATAGTGCCCCATCATTGGTGTCAGTGGGAGGAATAGTGCCCCATCATTGGTATCAGTGGGAGGAATAGTGTCCCATCATTGGTATCAGTGGGAGGAATAGTGTCCCATCATTGGTATCAGTGGGAGGAATAGTGCCCCATCATTGGTATCAGTGGGAGGAATAGTGCCCCATCATTGATATCAGTGAGAGGAATAGTGCCCCATTATTGCCATCAGTGGGAGCAATAGTGCCCCATCATTAGAATTAATGGAAGAAATTGCACCCCAGAGCTGGTATCAGTGGGAAAAGTAGTGCCCCATCATTGGCGTCAGCAGGAGGAATGGTGCCCTATTGTTAGAATCAGTGGGAGAAATAGTCCCCAATTGTTGGTGTCAGCAAAAATAGGAATGGTGTCTCAATGTTGGTACCAGTGGGAGTAATGGTGCTCCAAGAGCAACAAAGGGCCACAGTTTTGAGACCACTGATGACATCACAACAGTTTCCCTTTTCTACAGATAACAGAAAATGGTGTCCTAATCCTGGCTGTGCCAAATCTTAGGACTGGGTGGAGAGAAATTAAATCCTTTGGCCGGAATAATTGCACCCCGATATGCATCTGTGTATTCAGATGGCCTGGAATTCAGCCGAAATACAAATTTTGATGAGACGTTTACATCTGTATATACATGGACACACTCCTGATATTGTGCAGATTAGTTCGGTTTTCACTCACACCAGCCACCAGCATGTACCTGTGAGGGCTTCCTGTGCAAAGTATTTCACATCTACATCTTGGTCTTGAGTTAACTTCTCCAGGACTGGTTTCACATCGTTCTGTAGGGTGCTGGAATACAGATCAAGAAGGAAAGATTAAACCACGAACGGGATACTTGTACATACAGACGAAGCCTATCAGTCATTGTAATCTCCAAGTAAAACACTTGCCACCACCACCAGGCATGTGCTATTCAGCAGCTGGCTTTCGGGGTTCACATTGGACCTCTCTATGGCTGCAACAGAGCATAAGAGTTCACAAAACTGCTGCATGTCTTCACAGAGGGGAAGGCAACAGGTTCACCAGCAGCACAAACTCGCCTCCCCTTCCAATTCCTGCCAGGAGCAAAAAAATAATGCCTGGTACTTTTGGGTATGGGGGAACACAGGGGGACTAAAGATCCATATAGAGGAATCAGGACCTCCTCTGCCTGCTGGTGATCTCTCTAGAAATTTAAAGATCCATATAAAGGAATCAGGCCCTCCATACTCCTGCTGGTGACCCTTCTAGTGATATAAAGATCTATATAGAGGAATCAGGACCTCCTTCCTCCCGCCGGTGACCCCTCTACTGATATAAAGATCTATATAGGGGAATCAGGCCCTCCTTCCTCCTGCTGGTGACCCCTCTAGTGATCTAAAGATCTATATAGAGGAATCAGGACCTCCTTCCTCCTGCTGGTGACCCCTCTAGTGATCTAAAGATCTATATAGAGGAATCAGGACCTCCTCCCTCCTTCCGATGACCCCTCTAGTGATATAAAGTTCTATATAGAGGAATCAGGACCTCCTCCTCCTTCTGCTGGTGATCCCTCTAGTGATATAAATGTCCATATACAAGAATCAGAACTTCCCTCCTCCTGATGGTGACCCCTCTAGTGATCTAAAGATCTATATAGGGGAATCAGGACCTCCTTCCGATGACCCCTCTAGTGATATAAATATCTATATAGAGGAATCAGGACCTCCTCCCTCTTTCCGATGACCCCTCTAGTGATATAAATATCTATATAGGGGAATCAGGACCTCCTTCCTCCTGCTGGTGACCCCTCTAGTGATATATAGATCTATATAGAGGAATCAGGACCTCCCTCCTCCTGCTAATGACCCCTCTAGTGATATATAGATCTATATAGAGGAATCGGGTCCTCCTTCCTCCTGCTGGTGATCCCTCTAGTGATCTAAAGATCTATATAGGGGAATCAGGCCCTCCCTCCTGCTGGTGACAAAGATCTATATAAGGGAATCAGGACCTCCTCCCTCCTTCCGATGACCCCTCTAGTGATATAAAGTTCTATACAGAGGAGTCAGGACCTCCTTCCTCCTGCTGGTGATCCCTCTAGTGATATAAATGTCTACATACAAGAATCAGGACTTCCCTCCTCCTGAAGGTGACCCCTCTAGTGATATAAAGATCTGTATAGAGGAATCATGACCTCCTCTTTCTGCTGGTGATCCCTCTAGTGATCGAACGATCTATATAGAGGAATCAGGACCTCCTCTGCTTGCTGGTGACCCCTCTAGTGATCTAAAGATCTATATAGAGGAGTTAGAACCTCCTTCCTCCTGCTGGTGACCCCTCTAGTGATATATAGATCTATATAGAGGAATCAGGACCTCCTTCCTCCTGCTGGTGATCCCTCTAGTGATATAAATGTCTATATACAAGAATTAGGACTTCCCTCCTCCTGATGGTGACCCCTCTAGTGATATAAAGATCTATACAGAGGAATCAGGACCTCCTTCCTCCTGCTGGTGACCCCTCTAGTGTTATAAAGATCTGTATAGAGGAATCATGACCTCCTTCCTCCTACCTGGTGGTCCCACTAGTGACAAAGCTCTATATAGGGGAATCAGGACCTCCTTCCTCCTGCTGGTGACCCCTCTAGTGATATAAAGATCTATATAGAGGAATCAGGACCTCCTTCCTCCTGCCGGTGACCCCTCTAGTGATCTAAAGATCTATATAGAGGAATCAGGACCTCCTTCCTCCTACTTGGTGGTCCCACTAGTGACAAAGCTCTATATAGGGGAATCAGGACCTCCTTCCTCCTGCGGTGACCCCTCTAGTGTTATAAAGATCTGTATAGAGGAATCATGACCTCCTCTTTCTGCTGGTGACCCCTCTAGTGATATAAAGATCTATATAAAGGAATCAGGACCTCCTGCTGGTGATCCCTCCAATGATATAAAAATGTATACAGAAGAATTAGGACCTCCTTCCTCCTACTGGGGATCCCTCTAGTAAGAAATCTATATAGGAGGAAATCAAGATCTCCTTCAGGTTATCATTTCTTGTGATCTAGTGCGGCTGATCCTTCTTGTGATGCACCCCCCACAATTCTAAGTGTTTTTGCCACCGTCTGGCCACTGCTCATTTTGCAATCATCTGAATCAAGTACCCCCAAATCTTTTTTTGTAGCTCTGGAGAAATAATGTACTCAGTAAGAATTCTTTACACTTAATGCATTACTTTACAAATGTTGGACTGCAGATTCTACAGCTTTGATCAATCTAAGTTTGAGCGCTAAAATGAATGCTGCAGCAAAATAAACTTTCAGCTTCTTATTCCAAGGCATACATCACATTTATTTGGAAATTATGAAAATGTTTTTGGGATATAAATCGGTTCCATCTCCCTGGGACACGGAGTTAAATGGATGATATGACACTGGGTTGCCATTGCTGTACCGCTGGGATTCCTGCATAGCCTAGGGCTTTGAAACAACTTGGTGCCGCCAGGCACAGATGTCTGTTCATATACAGGAGAGACAGATCCATCAAAAATAAAAAGCTGGAATGTTACAGACTAGCAGATCCTCTAACTCTCTGCTGCTGAAGAGGAGATCTTCATCCAGAGACAGAGAGATGATAAACGGTTACTGCAGAGGTTAGGAAAGGTTCACCGGCATCAAGTCTTAAAGGATAAGTTCATTTTTAGGGAAAAATAGAAATAATAAATGCCTACAGTCAGGTCCATAAATATTGGGACATCGACACAATTCTAACATTTTTGGCTCTATACACCACCACAATGGATTTGAAATGAAACGAACAAGATGTGCTTTAATTGCAGACTGTTAGCTTTAATTTGAGGGTATTTACATCCAAATCAGGTGAACGGTGTAGGAATTACAACAGTTTGCATATGTGCCTCCCACTTTTTAAGGGACCAAAAGTAATGGGACAGAATAATAATCATAAATCAAACTTTCACTTTTTAATACTTGGTTGCAAATCCTTTGCAGTCAATTACAGCCTGAAGTCTGGAACGCATAGACATCACCAGACGCTGGGTTTCATCCTGGTGATGCTCTGCCAGACCTCTACTGCAACCGTCTTCAGTTCCTGCTTGTTCTTGGGGCATTTTCCCTTCACTTTTGTCTTCAGGAAGTGAAATGCATGCTCAATCCGATTCAGGTCAGGTGATTGGCTTGGCCATTGCAGAACATTCCACTTCTTTCCCTTAAACTCTTTGGTTGCTTTTGCAGTCTGCTTTGGGTCATTGTCCATCTGCACTGTGAAGCGTCCAATGAGTTGTGAAGCATTTGGCTGAATATGAGCAGATAATATTCCCGAAACACTTCAGAATTCATCCGGCTGCTTTTGTCAGCAGTCACATCATCAATAAATACGAGAGAACCAGTTCCATTGGCAGCCATACATGCCCACGCCATGACACTACCACCACCATGCTTCACTGATGAGGTGGTATGCTTAGGATCATGAGCAGTTCCTTTCCTTCTCCATACTCTTCTCTTCCCATCACTCTGGTACAAGTTGATCTTGGTCTCATCTGTCTATAGGATGTTGTTCCAGAACTGTGAAGGCTTTTTTTAGATGTCGTTTGGCAAACTCTAATCTGGCCTTCCTGTTTTTGAGGCTCACCAATGGTTTCCATCTTGTGGTGAACCCTCTGTATTCACTCTGGTGAAGTCTTCTCTTGATTGTTGACTTTGACACACATACACCTACCTCCTGGAGAGTGTTCTTGATCTGGCCAACTGTTGTGAAGGGTGTTTTCTTCACCAGGGAAAGAATTCTTCGGACATCCACCACAGTTGTTTTCCGTGGTCTTCCGGGTGTTTTGGGTGTTGCTGAGCTCACCGGTGCGTTCCTTCTTTTTAAGAATGTTCCAAACAGTTGTTTTAGCCACGCTTAATGTTTTTGCTATCTCTCTGATGGGTTTGTTTTATTTTTTCAGCCTAATGATGGCTTGCTTCACTGATGGCGACAGCTCTTTGGATCTCATCTTGAGAGTTGACAGCAACAGATTCCAAATGCAAATAGCACACTTGAAATGAACTCTGGACCTTTTATCTGCTCATTGTAATTGGGATAATGAGGGAATAACACACACCTGGCCATGGAACAGCTAAGAAGCCAATTGTCCCATTACTTTTGGTCCCTTAACAAGTGGGAGGCACATATGCAAACTGTTGTAATTCCTACACCGTTCACCTGATTTGGATGTAAATACCCTCAAATTAAAGCTGACAGTCTGCAGTTAAAGCACATCTTATTTGTTTCATTTCAAATCTATTGTGGTGGTGTATAGAGCCAAAAATGTTAGAATTGTGCCCATGTCCCAATATTTATGGGCCTGACTGTATATTTTTGCAGTGTAAAACTGATTTGTAAGATGACAAACCTTCAACCTGAAAATGAGGCAATTGTTTTAGGGCACATTTACAGTAGCATTGCCCTCTAAGACAATGGTGGATAGCTTTGTAGGGGAGGTTTCACAAGCAAGGAGGAATCATTGCCTCCCTATGCCCTGTATTAACCCCCTAAAAACCTGCACCATTGCAGCCGTGTGCACTTGAATGGGTCGCCTTCAGAAGGCTGTATTGTTGGCGGTAACAATTGCTGTCCCGCAAAGCATCGTGGTCATAGCATGTGTATACCCCCCTGTGCCTTTGCAGCTTAGGTGGGACAGTAAAATGCAGCTTAAATGTTTTTACTGCCCCCCCAACTGCAATTATAAACTAAGCCTTATTGCCCTGCCACCCAGGATCCCAAAGGTTGAGGTCTGTACAGTTTGAGACCATAGTGTGTATCTGATTTAGTCTTTGAGTCTCCACTCAACTACCGTAGCTCATTAACTGCTTATCCGCCGCCGTATAGCAGATAGACTGCCACACGGGTGCGTAAAATCACACACACATATATATATATTTATATTTATATATAAATATATATATATATATAAATAAATATATAAATAAATATATATATATAAATATACATATATAAATATAAATATATATAAATAAATATACATATATAAATAAATATACATATATAAATATACACACATAAATATATAAATCTCCTCTCTCTCTATATATATATATATATATATATATATATATATATATATATATATATGCAATTTTGCACTTCTGGGTAGGGGGCATACGTGAGCCCCAGCCGCGTCACCATTCGCGGCCGCAGATGTCAATCACCGGTTCTCGGCGATTACTATCACCGATCTTTGTTTACAGTCTACCTGTCAGCTCAGGCACACTGCATAGCACAGCCATCCCGTTCAGCGTGCTTACAGTGAAGCACACCCACCCCCCCCTCTAGTAAAACACTTTCTACATATAAGTTAACCCTTTGATCGGCCCTCATATTAACCCCTTCCCGCCCAGTGCTATTAGTATAGTGTCAGTGCTGGTTTTTTAGCACTGATCACTGTACCACTGGGGATGTCAGTGACACCGAGTCTCCCCCCCGTGGCAGAATGCCCACAGCAGTTCTGCTAAAAGTCGTTGATCGCCACCATAAGTAGTAGGAAAGGCCTGGTCAGGAAGGGGGGTAAATCCTCTGGACGGCAAGTGGTTAAAAGACACAAAGCAGAAAACCCAACAACATTCTGGGCCGCCATTCCTGGTACTAGTCAGTTACCCCCCCCCCCAGTGTCAGAATGGCCACTGTAGTCCTCCTGTAAGTCGTTGATCGCCGCCATTACTAGTATTAAATAAAAAAATCCCAGTATATATTCCGCCATTTGTAAACGCTATAACTTTCATGTACACCAATTAATTTACACGTATTGGGTTTTGTTTTAGCAAAGACACGGAGAAGAATACATTTTGGCCTCAAATTGACTTTTTACATTTTTTTCGTGGACATGTTTGATAGCAAAATGTCCAAAATATATTTTTTTTCCCTCAAAATAGGGTCATTTTTTGCTTATAGCGCAAAAAAAAAAAATGCACAGGCGATCAAATACCACCGAAAGAAAGCTCAATTAGTGGGAAAACGTAAATCTGGGTATGGCGCTGCATGACTGCGCAATTGTCAGTTAAAATAACGCAGGGGCCGTTACGCAAAGAATGGCCTGGTCAGGAAGGGTGGTAAATCCTTTGGAAGGCAAGTGGTTAAATTAACCACCCCCCCCCTTCATGTACTCAGGGGTCTGGAAGCTATTAGCATAGTCATACCGAATCTATGAAAACACTGTAGGTTTGTATAATATATACGTGAAATGCAGACAGCCTACAAAACCTACACATCAGTATAGATTTAAAACCCTTTCATAAATACACATTCCACAGCTGACAGGTTAGCTATGTGGCATTTCATAAAAAAAGAATAAAAACAAATCCGGTTCCATTTCTCGGTAGTTTCCAGGAAATATTCCCAATATACACTTTATGTTATCACATCAACCCGGAGGTGCTGAAAAAGAAAATTCTGCAAGAGGCGCCTGTGGTTTCAATTAGAGCCCCTGGAGGAGGCACCGATACATCTGAAGGGTTCCCAGTTTATTAGACACGTAGTTAAAGTGTTGAGTGTGTAGATGTGGATTCCCATATGTAAAAGCTGCACCCAAAGCAGATGAAAAGACTCGTTATCGGGTCTGTAATGGGACACATCAAACTGGTGTGCTTTGGCGTGGTTCGTTTTTGACAGGTTCAACAGACCATCAAAAAGACCAGAAACATCTTCACGGGAAGACTGAGAAAAATAAAAACATCAAAAAGGCAAGAACGCTTTGATCTTAAACTTGTGATGAAATAAAGATGTACTGATCAATTGGGATCGTCTCTTGGGGAGTCACTGACCAGGAACAATCACACAACCAAAAGTCAGGACTCACGCTGGATTGTTGAAAAGCTGACAACTAAGGCCTCATTCACATGGGGAGTACACCCATGGAGGGCCGTGTTTACCCACACAAGGATGCACATGTTCCCCATACAGGCAGTCCCATCAATGTCAATTGTGACGCAGCAGCTATTGTTCCCAATCTGACATCCATGTGGGTGTGGGCATGTGCTTGTCCCTAAATACACAGTGTGCATTCTGGGACATGCATCCGCATCTGTACCCCACTCCACCACCCCAATCCATCAGACTGTCACCTACTCTCCTCACCTTTAGGCGCACCCTGAAAACCCATCTCTTCAGGGAAGCCTACCCCACCCTCACCTAAGAGCCGTTGTCTCTCACTCCTCCTAACACTCCATCCCCCACAGCCACTTCCTCCTGTACCTCTACCCCCTCCCTACTAGATTGTAAGCTTGAAAGAGCAGGGCCCTCGAACCCCTCGTGTATTGTATTGTTACTGTTTTGTCTCATGTACTGTCCCCCCACTCTAATGTACAGCGCTGAGCACACCCTTTGGCGCTATATAAATACTGTATTATAATAATAATAATAATCTGTCAAATTGGGATCAGTGGCTGTGTCCATGCAGGATTCCAAATGACATCAATAGGGATCCACAAATGCGCCCATCCATAGGCGCCCATCCTGTGGGAAGGAGGGAACCCTTTTTTTGTGGCCAGATTGAGAAATGCCTTCTTAGACTGTGGGATAGTAAAAAAAAATGCTCCCTTATAGATTGCTCTGGACTCTCAAGATGATCTTCTTAGCAGCAGTTGCACCAGCCTCACGATGCCGGCTCTGAAGAGTGACATTAACCTTGGAATTAGAGTACACAGGTATCATCGGGTGAGAAATCAATCTGCCACGGTTTAAAAGGAGTATGAGCAAAGCTTTTTTTTGGCTATACTTCTATGGATTACAGGAGTGCAGTTGGTTCTGCAGTCCAGTGACCTGTTTTCAGTTGACGGGCTAAAGCTTGCTGTCGGATGACATCATGCAGCTGGTCCAGGCAGGAGAAAGATCCTGACTTTGCAGTCGGGATCCACCCAGATACCTGGACCATCAACTGGCTCAACCTCTCAGCTACACCATCAGGAGACTAATGATTGCAACTTTGGCCATGACCAATCGCAACCCATTGTTTCAATGGCACCCATCCAGATCTATGCGTCTTAAAGTTGTAGCGAATTTGAAAAGGTGCCTGCACTTTTGTTGCGCCAAAAAAAAAAAAAAAAAAAAAAAAAAAAAGTATACTCATCTAGGTGGATGCAGCAGCCTCTGCACTGAGAACTGAGCAATCAAACACCACTGATTGCTCTCTTACTCACTTACCACTCTCTGCTCTGCCCCTCCACAGCCCGGCGTTCCAGTGAGAGCTGGAGGGGCAGAGCAGAGAGCGTTGAGTCTCCGTTCATTTCTCCCTCCCACTCTGAGCAATCAGTGGTGTTTGATTGCTCAGCTCTCAGTGCAGAGGCTGCTGCATCCACCTAGGTGAGTATACATCATTTTTCTTTTTGTCGCAACAAAGTAGTGCAGGCACCTTTCCAAAATCGCTACAACTTTAACACGCACAGATCTGAATGGGTGCCATTGAAAGAATGGGTTGCGTTTGGTCATGTACAAAGTTGCATGACAAGTCGCACAAGTGTGAATGGAGCCTTAACCTCTTTGCGCCGGCCGCTCGCAAATGTGTAGCCTCCCGGCGTCTGGGCCTTGACGCCGAGCAGCCGCATTTGCACGCAAGAAAAACATATGTGCTGAGAGTGAGCACCCCCAGCACACATGTCCGGTACTCACGGAAAGGTCCCGATCTCCTCTTTCGATCGGGACCATTCCCGATCATGTGAGGGCCGTGACGGCGAACCACAGCGGTCACATGACCATAAAACCCCGCCCCGGCTTCTGAGACCCTTAAAGGGCCGGGAGGCGCCAAGGGGTTGAGGAACACCTAGCAACATCTGAAAGAGCCTTGGTTGAAAAACTTGGACTCAAAACAGATTCATACCTGTTGTCCAGTGTGGGACCGATCTTCTGGAGAGACTTGGCAACATTAAAACGCACATTCGCCACGGCATCGCCTGCCATCCGCACTACTGTGGGTAACATGTGCTTAGTGGTGATGTCCTGTCCACAAACCTCAGAGAGCACCTAGAAAAGGTAAAAAACACAAAACCAGCTGAAAAGAAACTCAAGCCGGAAAATAAAAGATCAGGCTTCTCCCCTTATAACGGACAACAATTTACATCCAAGAGAACCTCCACATTCACTTACATTGATACAGAACAAGGTGGTCATCCGGTGCAGATAGTTCGGGTCGTTGGACATTGCCAGCACTTTTGGGATGATGGTGGCCTGAGCCCACTCTTTACCAAACTTTTCGACCAGCTTCTTCAGGTTGCTGGTAGCTGCCTCTCTGATGGCGTATACTGGGGGGGAAAAAAATTCAAACAGTCAAGGTTTTTTTTTTTTTAATTTGGCAACAATGGATTGGCTTCATCACAAAGCTAAGATCTTAATTCTAGGAGTTCAGTTCCTTATAATCGGTGATGTGATGAAAAGATAAGAAATAAGTGAATTGCGCACTCACCAGAAGTTCTGGTGAGTGCGCAATTCACTTATTTATCTTTTCATCACATCACCGATAAGGAACTGAACTCCTAGAATTAAGATCAGATATGACCTACAAGTCTACAATCTGGACTTCTTACTGACTTACGTTCTAACCACTAATTTGTGGTAGAATACCACCGTTTGCACCTTAATATTGACTCATCATTCTTTACATATTCATATAACAGCGCTGCACTATTTCCTATATATTACCCAATTTTCGAGGTTTTATGGTACATTTAGGTGTCCTAGCTGCTGTTACTTTATAATAGCGCTCGCATATCTTTATTTTGATTAAAGATAGGAATAAAAATGTATTTGTTTTGTCCTAGGTGGTGGGAAGCTCGGTTTAAAGCATACAAGAAGGATATCTAGACCGCAAATTACTTCAGCCCCATACACAGGATGAGAATATCAGACGATCAATCATCTGTTTTTTTCGCCTGTTAGTCTCACATCGAAATTGAAAAAGGTTACTAAAAAGATACGAAAATTCTCGTAAGAATTTCGAAAGTGATGTATTGTATTTGTATTGTATTTTTAGACGACTACGGATTAACCTCCCTGGTGGACTAACTAATCAATACTTTTGAATATCAAAGCGGTACATTGTTTTGCATGGAAATTTGTTGTTTTATATTGTAGGCCTGTAATTCTTAGGAATAACTCACTTAAATTGGTCCAAACAAGTGTCTAGTAAACATCCCGAGTATGACAACGTTTGAAACACGAAATCATAAATTATAATATATTAATTTAATTCAAATAATATAATCAAACCAAAAACACTGAAATGTGAAATATAGCTCCAAGTTCGCACATCGCTGAGCAAAGTCGCAGAATCGTTTTCAGTGTCTGATGAGGAATTTCCCCCACCAATCATTATCACTCAATTCTGCAAGTGGTTCTAATTTACTATCGCTGTTCTCTAGCCGGTCTAAAACCGCTTTTGACCTAAAGGGACGCTTTTTGGACGCCATGGACGTTTCTCAGTTTCCAGGCAGAAAGAACAGTAAAAATGCAGGCAGGGCGCCGGACAAAGCACTCGGGACAAAATGTATGTGAAATGGTTTGATACAGGAATGTAATCCTAACAGATTACTGTGTATGTCAAATTTTACTTTTTTGAATCTCCTGCCAGTTCCATCCCGACGCTTGCAGGGAACGGAATACGGATACCAGCATCGGCCGGGGGACACAGTGGGAGGACATTGCGGGACTGTTAGACGGTAGACAAGGTAAGGCTCGAGGGATCGCTGCAGTGTAATCCCGAGCAGGGGCAGACTGAACATTTGGAAACTTGGGCACTGCCCGAGGGCCCGGGGTCAGTAGGGGGCCCGATGAGATGCCCCTGGTACCTTTTTCATAGGCTTTTTTGAGTTTGGGCAAGGACACAGGGGCCCCATGATCCCCTATTTCCCCTGGGGTAAGTAGGGGGCCCCATGAGATGCCCTTGGTACCTTTTTAATAGGCTTTTTTGAGTTTGGGCAAGGACACAGGGGCCCCATGATCCCCTATTGCCCGGGGGCCCCATGAGTTGTCAGTCCACCCCTGATCCTGAGTGTTGCTTGTGGTTACTGCTTTTGGTACTGAAATTAACCCCGAACCACAGCGAGGAAGGTTAAAAAAAAAAAAATTGTACGAGAAAAATTCTCATGCTTGTCCCTTCGGGTATTGTCACACGAATTGTCGTGATTGGCTCTCGAAAGCTGTATACAAAGGATCTGATTATCAGACGATCGGTCCTCGTACGGCAATTTTCATACAATTTTCTTATCGTGTGTACAGGGCATATCTAAACATGCCTATATTAATTGCCTGCTTGCTGCTCTTATCAGCCCCATTACTTTCAGGTTTTCTGGTAGAAAAGCAAATCTTAAATATCGTAATGTGTAGGCAAACGCCTGAAGTGCGCTATAAATGCACAATACCCCCTCCGTTTTAGAATCCGCAGCAGCTGGAAGAGACTGAGGCTTGTTAACAGATTATGACATCTGTAAAGCATCAGCACGGGGCCCCGAGGCATTGACATTTAAAGATAAACATTTCTTACCGTGATCCACAAGCCAGGCCATACATAAGGAGTTCAGCTTCTCATCAAAGAACTCTACACCCTACACAGGGAAAATAAATAACTTAATCAATGCTGAGGCCAAGAAACAAACACTTGTGATTATTCTCAACATGTACATTCCCTTTCAACAGCTCTCCAGAATCCATCTCATACTGAACAGGCCCAAGGTTTCCCTCTGCTGGTGAGAGCGTTGAATAGCTCCGGAGTTAGTCATTGGCCGCGTCTCTCAGGGACTCGCGCAGAGTGGGATGCCGACCCTGGATGGGACTCCAGGCCAAAAGCTTGTTTAGCCGCTATAAACAAACTCTGGAGGAAACCCAAGTCATATCAGATTACATCATTCTAATCCCCATTACACTACTGAGGGAGTGTAAAGCCCCCCCCCCCCCCCCCCACGCCAAAACATTTTTGGCAGCAAATACTTAATATTTCAAATAAATTTGAAACCGTCGTTGTTCCACAACCAAAATTAGACAAAACAAGTATGATCTGGAAGAAAAAGAAAATACTTTAAAGTAGAAATCGTGCCAAAGCTCTTGTTTTTGCTTCATTCTGCACTCTTGTAGTCCGTTTTCAGCCGATAGACTAAAGTCCACTGTTGGGTGACATCGAGAGCCAGTCCAGGTTCTGGAAAGATCCTGAGTTTAATATTGGGATCCACCCAGATCCCCAATTGTCAGCTGGGTCAGCCTCTCGACAGGCCATTGAGTCTGAGCCAGCCGCTCCCACCCCCTCCACATCTCGGCTTTCTGGTGAGCGCTGGAGGGGAAGAGCAGAGAGCCAGTGACTGATAGGCCATTGAGTCTGAGCCAGCCGCTCCCACCCCCTCCACATCTCGGCTTTCTGGTGAGCGCTGGAGGGGAAGAGCAGAGAGCCAGTGACTGATAGGCCATTGAGTCTGAGCCAGCCGCTCCCACCCCCTCCACATCTCGACTTTTCTGGTGAGCGCTGGAGGGGAAGAGCAGAGAGCCGGTGACTGACAGGCCATTGAGTGAGCCAGCCTCCCACCCCCTCCACATCTCGGCTTTCTGGTGAGCGCTGGAGGGGAAGAGCAGAGAGCCAGTGACTGATAGGCCATTGAGTCTGAGCCAGCCGCTCCCACCCCCTCCACATCTCGGCTTTCTGGTGAGCGCTGGAGGGGAAGAGCAGAGAGCCAGTGACTGATAGGCCATTGAGTCTGAGCCAGCCGCTCCCACCCCCTCCACATCTCGACTTTCTGGTGAGCGCTGGAGGGGAAGAGCAGAGAGCCGGTGACTGACAGGCCATTGAGTGAGCCAGTTGCTCCCACCCCCTCCACATCTCGGCTTTCTGGTGAGCGCTGGAGGGGAAGAGCAGAGAGCCAGTGACTGATAGGCCATTGAGTCTGAGCCAGCCGCTCCCACCCCCCCTCCACATCTCGGCTTTCTGGTGAGCGCTGGAGGGGAAGAGCAGAGAGCCAGTGACTGATAGGCCATTGAGTCTGAGCCAGCCGCTCCCACCCCCTCCACATCTCGGCTTTCTGGTGAGCACTGGAGGGGAAGAACAGAGAGCCGGTGACTGACAGGCCATTGAGTGAGCCAGTTGCTCCCACCCCCCTCCACATCTCGGCTTTCTGGTGAGTGCTGGAGGGGAAGAGCAGAGAGCCGGTGACTGACAGGCCATTGAGTCTGAGCCAGCCGCTCCCGCCCCCTCCCACAGCCCAGCTTTCTGGTGAGCGCTGGAGGGGAAGAGCAGAGAGCCGGTCACTGACAGGCACCAGCTCTCTGCCCCTCCAGTACTCACTGGAGTGCCGGGCTGTGGAATAGGGAGGGAGCGGCCGGCTTAGATGTCCCACAGGAGAAGTAGAGCCAAAAGGAGCTTTGGCTCTACATCTCTTTATTAAAAAAAACTGGTCACCAACCCAATTCTATAACTGGCTTTTTCAGCAGTGAACATGGACGGACATCACATGTGAAATATAAATAGGGCTACCCTGTTCAACTTGCCAGACAACCCCAGTGTAATAATGGCTATTATCAGCAAGGAACATGGATAGGTATCACTGATCAAAAAGGGGGATAAGAAAGCCAGTTCAATCTGCCAGCCAGTTAGCCAACTATCAAAAACCAAAAGCCAGTTATAGACTTGGGTCGGTGACCAGTTTTTTGTATATAAATTTTGGAGGTTTGTGGGTGCACTGGACACCCTGCATGTTCTGAGAGTGTCTGACTGGGTTTCCTCCAGGTTTCTCCGGTTTCCTCCTACACTCCAAAGACATGCTGGTAGGTTAATTGGCTCCTATTATAATTGGCCCCAATATGTGCATGTATGAATGTGATTTTTTTTTTTTGTGTGTAAAGCACTGCGCAAATTGACGGCACTATAGAAGTACCAATAATATAATAATAATAAATATAATATTAATAATAAAATTAATAAAATAGTAAATAATAATAAAAAATGTGTGTTCAAATATTCACCTGTATGCACATTTAACTGGCACACAACACATCAGTTTTTTCTTTATTTTTACCTCTAGCAGCGCAACACCATCACAAATGCTAATTATTTCATTTGTGGGAACACAATTAGATGTTAGCAGCAGCTGGGATGATGCCATATGTATGTACCTCCTGAAGTTTAAATGAAAAAACTCTCAGAAGCCTCACTGACTCCCACCCTGCCTTGTTGCTAAGACTCTGGTTTGAATCAGCTGGAAGTGTCTTAGCAACATCGTAGCAACATGGCAGGACGGGATGGGGCCATCTATGTGTTTTTTTTTCGGTCAGGCTTCAGGAGGTACACACACACTTGCAGCAAGGGCAGAGGCGGACTGACCATTTGGAAACTCGGGCACTGCCCGAGGGCCTGGGATCAGTAGGGGGCCCCATGAGATGCCCCTGGAACCTTTATCATAGGCTTTTTTGAGTTTGGGCAAGGACATAGGGGCCCTATGATCCCCTATTGCCCAGGGGCCCCAAGAGTTGTCAGTCCGCCCCTGAGCGAGGGTATTATTCAACTTTAGTCAAAGCTGCAGAGTTTTTTTTTTATTTACAGGCCCCCCCCCCTCTCACCTGCATAGGCAGTTTTTTGGTAAAGATGAAACTAACCCTTTACAACTTTCAGCACCGGGAGAATTGAATACTTTCTCTAACAATTTCAACAACTCTAAGCATTAATAGATTTATTACAAAAGGTGCATTTAATAAACCCTCTTCACATTTGGTCTACAAGGACAACATGTACACTGGATGGTTTCCAAGGAACAAGTGCAAATAATGAATATGTATTCATGGAAGGAATGCTGATCTTCCACTCACGTAGCTACAAGACAATGAGACAAATTGCAGCTCATAATCGCAGCCCAACCGCTAGGATGAACTCTACTTCTCCATCTCCGCTCACACAGAACACATTCTGCAGCTCCACTTGTCCGATATAGAAATGCAATTGACCTTGAAAATCGTCTGTTTACAGACTCCAGACGCATACAGAAACGAAGGCCAAGCATTCGGCTGAATGTTAATGGAGGCGCACACCAGCTGCTCAGCTAGGAGAGGCATTTACTGGGTGCTATGGACCTCAAACCCAGGGCATGCACACAACACGCCAAGCACATCTAAATGTTAATTGATACACATACCAGCTGCCCTGCGAGGAGAGGCATGTACTCGATGATGGCCAGGCGCACGCGCCACTTGGCGTCCTCAGCCAGCTCCACGATAGCGGGAAGAAGGGACTGGGAGAGCTGGCGGATGCCGATGACCTCGTTCACACAGTCCAGGTTGGAGATGATGTTGAGTCTCACTTCTGGACACTGAGGGGAGAGATTAGACATAGAAGTTAACAACCGGGATATAAATCACATACACACACATCTCTATATCCCTCTCCCCCCCCCCTCTCTCCCTCCCTCTATATCCCCCCCTCTCTATATCCCCCTCTCCCTCCCTCTATATCCCCCTCTCCCCCCCCCCTCTCCCTCCCTCTATATCCCCCTCTCCCTCCCTCTATATCCCCCTCTCCCTATATATCCCCTCTCTCCCTATATCCCCCTCTCCCTATACCCCCCCCCTCTCTCTCTCTATATCCCCCTCTCTCTCTTATCCCCCTCTCTCTCTATACCCCCCCCCTCTCTCTCTCTCTCCCTCTATATATCTATCCCTCTCTCTATCCCCCCCTCCCCTCCCTCTCCCTCTCTCTCCCCTCCCCCCTCCCTCCCCTCCCCTTTTTTTTTATTTATTGATTACTTTTCTACATGTCTTTGCTACAAAATTCCCAATCCAAGTAAATCAATTGTTTTACGTGAAAGTTATAGAGTTTACAAATGGTGGTATAGATACTGGGATTTTTCTTCTTTTTTTTTTTTTTTTTTACTAGTATTGGTGGCAATCAGCGACCTATAGCGGGACTGCAGCGGGCATTCTGAGACTGGGGGGGGAACTGACTTGGTGTCACTGACCTACCCAGTGACAACAATACAGTGATCAGTGCTAATAAAAAGCACTGACACTGTACTAATGGCACTGGGCAGGAAGGGGTTAATATCTGGGGCGATCAAAGGGCTAACTGTGCCGCTTCACTATGTGTGCTGTGAGTGCTTCACTGTTAGCACACCGCTTTGTATGGCTTTGCTATGCAGAGCCGTACAAAGCAGTGTGCAGGAGCTGACAGGGGAGAGAACTGTTTATACAGTTACCGTTTGCCAGCGAGTAATCACTGGCAGGGACCTGGTGATTGACAGCCGAGGCTGCGAATGGCAGCGCGGGTAGGGCGCACATGCCCCCTACCCAGAACTGTAAAACCATGCATATATACATGTGATTTTGCGCGCCCTGTAGCAGTATTACTACTATAGTGCGGTGTGAGAGCGGTTAAGCAAACATGTCTCTTTGTAATGACTTTACACAGGACATTCCCGGTCCTTCTCTTTTCGGGTCCCCCGTCAGTGCTCCTGGACCCTCCGCCCCTGCCAAGTGCCCCCAGAGCAAGCTGCTTGCTCTGGAGCGCTCGTTCCTGAGTCAGCCCTGTATGTCCATAAGTGCCCAGTCATACCGGTGTAATTTGCAAACTGAAATCACACCTGAAAATGCATCTAATGAATGTGAATGACAGTGTCTTAATGTGTGCGATTTGCAGCGGCGCAATTTCTAAAGTAGCTCTGGCACAGCTTTTTCTGCAGTTTGTGATTTCACATACATAGAATATAATGGAAATTAAACTGCAAATTGTACAAAATCATTGAAAATCTTCGCAAGTTGCAAAAAAATCATCAGAAATCGCACTGAAATCAAGCGATTCTAAATCATAGCAGTGTGACCAGGCACTGGAGACATACAGAGCACAGCTCAGCCCCATCCCCTGCTCCCTCCTCACCGGCTGTGACTGATAGCAGCAGGAGCCAATGGCTCCAGGTGCTGTGTCTCAGCCAATGATGAGAGGGAAATCTGGGAGAGCCGAGGCTCTCATGCACACCGCTGGATTGGGCTCAAGTATAGAGGGGAGCTGCATACTGAAGGATTTTTACGTTCCTGCATAGAATGCAGGAAGGTAAAAAGCCTTTAGAACCACCCAAAAAGGGGAAGTTCTGCTTCAAGCCTTTGTCCCCCACTCCCCATTAAGGATTGGCACCTTTGGAAAGCAAGGGGGATGGAGTGAGCAGTACCCGAATTTGACAGGTAACCGCTCCCACTTCCGCTGCGATCGCCAAAGGCGATTGGAAGTGGAATCCCCACCCCGTAGTGTTCTGGGACATGTGACAGGTCCCAGAAGGCTACGGGGCCATTCACAAGGCGCAGCGCTTCACGTGCATGTGCAGTGGGCACCCGGCTTTAAAGCCGCAGGCTGTCACAGCCGGATGCCCACACTGAAGATGCCGGCGCCAGGGAGAGAAGACCGCCGGTGAAACCAGCCATGGTGAGGACACCGCTGGACTGAGGGACCTGTAAGTGGCTGTATTTAAAGTCAGCAGCTACAGTTTTTGTAGCTGCTGCCTTTTTTTTCCTGGTGGAACTCTGCTTTAAGTCACAATTAAACCCAAAGCAAACATTTATTATACTGCAGCTTAACATGTCTTGTGTATTATGGCTGCATTCATTTTCTTTATTAGGCTCTTCCTTTATTTTCACCTGATGATCCAGACAGTAAAAGTCTGTTTTTCAAAAGAAGCTCTCTTACAGATGTACCAGTTAGAGGGTTGAGACAAACCATTTACCACTGAGAGGAGTACATACATTGATCAGCGTTTATGTAAAACCTTTATGCCAAAAGGAACAAAAAAAAAAAAAAAAAAAATGATGTAACTGATTACAAAGTGTGAACTGGAGTTTGGTTTCAGTTTGTTAGGGTGTCAAATGCAGGTCATAAACTGTTCGTTTAATGGCCAAATTTTCGTCCGAAAGAATAATCGGGCGCAGGGGCGGACTGACAAATCATGGGCCCCCCGGGCAATAGGGGATTATGTGGCCCCTGTGTCCTTGCCCAAACTCAAAAAAGCCTATGAAAAAGGTACCAGGGGCATCTCATGGGGCCTCCTACTGACCCCACAGACAATAGGGGATCATGGGGCCCCTGTGTCCTTGCCCAAACTCAAAAAAGCCTATGAAAAAGGTACCAGGGGTCTCCAGGGGCCCCCTACTGACCCCCCCAGACAATAGGGATCATGGGGCCCCCTACAAAAGCTGACCCCCCAGACACTAAGGGATCATGGGGCCCCTGTGTGCTTGCCCAAACTCACAAAAGCTTATGAAAAAAGGTACCAGGGCCATCTCATGAGGCCCCCTACTGATCCCGGGCCCTCGGGCAGTGCCCGAGTTTCCAAATGGTCAGTCCGCCCCTGATCGGGCAATAGTCACACCGTTCGTGGGCAAAGTCCTCGGCCGATTTTCACGGTTCCTCCTCGTTTCTTTTATCGGTCATGCTGGAAAATTTATGAAAAACGGACGATTTTCGTAAGCATTGGTGGCAGCAGAATGACCGATTTTTTGTTTTTTGGCCGAAAAACCATCTATGGCCAGCATAAGCCTGGGTTCACATATATGCGGTGCGGTATATCGCATGTGATCTCCTGTGCAAATCACATGCAGTGTGTGTGCGGTGCGACTGGAGCCGTACATTTTGTATGGCTCTAATCGCACCAAAAAAGTGCAGGACCCTTTTTTTGGTCTGCACTAGAATCGGATTGCAGGGGTATCCAAACCTATGCGATCCGATTCTGCACATCGCACTGCGTTTTGTGGACCGCTTTCAGGGTGTTAACTTATAGAACATACAAACCCGCAGCGGTTTGCAAGAACTGGGTGCGCGATTCTGGTGCAGAATTCACACAGAAAACAATGCAAATTCTGCACCGCATCAGCGTGAACACAGGGTAAATCTGCTAGTCCATCTAACACTCCCCTTCCCCCCCAAAGATTTGACAATGCTGAGGTCCAAAGGAGTCTCTGTAGCTCCTTCACCCAGAGTGGGGGCACTCTAATACAGATGTGTTCCTGGCCAGATCTGGTGAAAACGGAGGGTGGATGGGTAGCCTAAACAAATGAAAACTAATGCAGCCACCACATCTAATGATTGACCAGCTGCAATATATTACGTTTCTGGGTTTGGATTTAGTACCGCTTTCAGTTTGCGGACTACAGATCTAACATTCCTGGCTAGGGTAAGCTTGCAATATAGGGAATATATTGTGTCTACACCTAATCCAGTGTTTCTCAACTCCAGTCCTCATGGACCCCCAAACAGGTCATGTTTTCAGGATTTCCATTATTTTGCACAGGTGATTTGATCAGTTTCACTGCCTTATGCAGGCCATAGACGGGTCGAAAATCGGCCGATTTTTCGCCCGAAAATAAAATCGGCCGATTTTCGGATCGTTAGTGGGCGATTTGGTCGGCCGTTTTTCGGTATTTTGGCCGTTTTTGTTTTTCGGTAAAGTTGGAAAAAAAATCGGCCGATTTTGCCGATCGGCCGATTTTCGCGGCAATTAGTGGGCAAATCGGCCGATTTTTTTTTACCGATAAAAAATCTGCGCATGAGCAGTGACATGCAAGAGGAAGACAAAAAGAAGAAAAAGAAGAGGATGAGGATGAAGAAGAAGAAGAGGATGAGGATGAAGAAGAGGATGAGGATGAAGAAGAGGATGAGGATGAAGAAGAGGATGAGGATGAAGAAGAGGATGAGGATGAAGAAGAGGATGAGGATGAAGAAGAGGATGAGGATGAAGAAGAGGATGAAGAAGAGGATGAGGATGAAGAAGAGGATGAGGATGAAGAAGAGGATGAAGAAGAAGAAGAAGAAGAAGAAGAAGAAGAAGAAGAGAGGATGAGGAGGATGAGGAAGAAGAAGAGGATGAGGATGAAGAAGAGGATGAGGATGAAGAAGAGGAAGAAGAGGATGAGGATGAAGAAGAGGAAGAGAGGATGAGGATGAAGAAGAGAGGAAGAAGAGGATGAGGATGAAGAAAAAGAAGAGGATGAGGATGAAGAAAAAGAAGAGGATGAGGATGAAGAAGAGGATGAGGATGAAGAAGATGAGGATGAGGATGAAGAAGATGAGGATGAAGAGGATGAGGATGAAGAAGAAGAAGAGGATGAGGGTGAAGAAGAAGAAGAAGAGGATGAGGGTGAAGAAGAAGAAGAAGAGGATGAGGATGAAGAAGAAGAAGAGGATGAGGATGAGGAAGAAGAAGAAGAAGAAGAAGAAGAGATGAGGAGGATGAGGAAGAAGAAGAGGATGAGGATGAAGAAGAGGAAGAAAGAGGATGAGGATGAAGAAGAAGAAGAAGAGGATGAGGATGAAGAAAAAGAAGAGGATGAGGATGAAGAAAAAGAAGAGGATGAGGATGAAGAAGAGGATGAGGATGAGGAAGAGGAAGAGGATGAGGATGAAGAAGATGAGGATGAAAGAAGATGAGGATGAAGAAGATGAAGAGAAGATGAGGATGAAGAAGATGAAGAAGATGAGAAGAAGAGGATGAGGATGAAGAAGAAGAAGAGGATGAGGGTGAAGAAGAAGAAGAGGATGAGGGTGAAGAAGAAGAAGAGGATGAGGATGAAGAAGAAGAAGAGGATGAGGATGAAGAAGAAGAAGAGATGAGATGAGGATGAAGAAGAAGAAGAGGATGAGGATGAAGAAGAAGGAGGAGGATGAGTATGAAGATGAAGAAGAAGAGGATGAGTATGAAGAAGAAGAGGATGGGGATGAAGAAGAGGATGAGGATGAAGAATGAGATGAAGATGAAGATGAAGAGCATGAAGATGAAGAAGAAGAGCATGAAGAAGAAGAAGAGGATGATGAGAAGAAGAAGAGGATGAGGAAGAAGAAGAAGAAGAGGATGAGGATGAAGAAGAAGAATAATAATAATAAGAAGAAGAAGTAGGATGAAAATAAGAATTCCAGTCCAGCAAAAAGTGTCTCTGCAGAGAGCTCCGCTATTTCTGACAGTTCTCTGACAGTTCCTTGACATTTACAGCGGTTGAAACATTGTATCTATTTGTTTCCAAATAAAAACATCTGTATCCTAAATGGAAACAAATAGATACATTGTTGCAACTTCTATAAATGTCAAGGAACTGTCAGAGAACTGTCAAAGAAATAGCAGAGCTCTCTGCAGGGACACTTTTTGCCGGCTGTAGACGGGTAGAAAATCGGCCGATTTTTTTTACCATTGATGGTAACGTCGGCCACTTGAACAACCGATTTTTCGTTTTTTAAAAGAAAAATCTGCAGTTTTTCTCCCCATCTATGGCCTGCATTAGTAATTACCACAGCTGTTTCATCTGAGGGAAATCCTGAAAACATGACCTGTTGGGGGTCCATGAGGACTGGAGTAGAGAAACACTGACCTAATCAGAGCAGATTCCATCTTCACGATTACTTCCATGTGACGTTCTCCCCCTTGTGGCAGAAATATGTAAAATGAGTCCTGAAAATATCACTATGAAGAACCTTACGTAACAGGCGATGACGCTGGATTCCGTAATCCTGAGCAATGCACCATACCCCCACCCCCCCCCCCCCCCCCAGACACAGAAACTTCGCTTACCTCATCCTTCAGCTGGGCCAAGAAAAGAGGAAGAAGATGCTCTATAGTATTGTCCTTCCCCAGGATGGGGGACAGGCCCATGATGACGGAGGCCAGGGCAGATTTCACATGCTGGTTGGCATCTGAAACCAATTCCTGGTTGGAAAGGAAACAAAACAGAAAAAGATCAGCAGAAATAACGAAAGGAACTCCAGCTGTCCAAACATCAAAATTTACACAAATAGGGCCAAAGGCTTGTGAACTTAACCCCTCGCCTACCGGGCACTTATACCCCCTTCCTGCCCAGGCCAATTTTCAGCTTTCAGCGCTGTTGCACTTTGAATGACAATTGCGCAGTCATGCAACACTGTACCCATATGTGACATTTTTATAATTGAGACAGAGCTTTGTTTTGGTGGTATTTAATCACCTCTGGGTTTTTTATTTTTTGCTAAACAAACCAAAAACAGAAAATTTTGAAAAAAAAAAAGTTTTTTCTTAGTTTGTTAGAAAATTGTCATTAAGTGATCTTTCTCCTTCACTGATGTGCGCCAATGAGGCTGCAGTGATGGGCACTTATAGGCAGTGCAGATGGGCACTGATATGCGCAACTGATGCAAACTGGTAGGGGCCGGTATGCGCAACTGATGCAAACTGCTAGGGGCCGGTATGCGCAACTGATGCAAACTGCTAGGGGCCGGTATGCGCAACTGATGCAAACTGCTAGGGGCCGGTATGCGCAACTGATGCAAACTGCTAGGGGCCGGTATGCGCAACTGATGCAAACTGCTAGGGGCCGGTATGCGCAACTGATGCAAACTGCTAGGGGCCGGTATGCGCAACTGATGCAAACTGCTAGGGGCCGGTATGCGCAACTGATGCAAACTGCTAGGGGCCGGTATGCGCAACTGATGCAAACTGCTAGGGGCCGGTATGCGCAACTGATGCAAACTGGTAGGGGCCGGTATGCGCAATTGATGCAAACTGGTAGGGGCCGGTATGCGCAACTGATGCAAACTGGTAGGGGCCGGTATGCGCAATTGATGCAAACTGGTAGGGGCCGGTATGCGCAATTGATGCAAACTGGTAGGGGCCGGTATGCGCAATTGATGCAAACTGGTAGGGGCCGGTATGCGCAATTGATGCAAACCGGTAGGGGCCGTATGCGGAATTGATGTGAACTGGTAGGGGCGATATGCGCATTGATGTGAACCGGAAGGCACCGATATGTGACATTGATGTGAACCGGAAACTGGTAGGGGCCGATATGTGACAATTGATGTGAACCGGAAGGGGCACCGATATGTGACATTGATGTGAACCGGAAGGCACCGATATGTGGCATTGATGTGAACTGGAAGGCACCGATATGTGGCATTGATGTGAACCGGAAGGCACCGATAGGTGACATTGATGTGAACCGGAAGGCACCGATAGGTGACATTGATGTGAACCGGAAGGCACCGATAGGTGACATTGATGTGAACCGGAAGGCACCGATAGGTGACATTGATGTGAACCGGAAGGCACCGATAGGTGACATTGATGTGAACCGGAAGGCACCGATAGGTGACATTGATGTGAACCGGAAGGCACCGATAGGTGACATTGATGTGAACCGGAAGGCACCGATAGGTGACATTGATGTGGCACTGATAGGTGGCACTACTGGGGGCTACACTGATCATCAGTGCCCTGTTGATCAGTGTATATGTCCCGAGTAATGCTGATTACATTCACCTTTTCCTCCTCAACCACTGTGCGGTCATTTTTGCTGTGTGCTTTGGGTCACTATCATGTTGGAAGGTAAACCTTCCCATTGACAACTTTCTGGCAGAAGGAAGCAGATTTTCCTCATGAATTTGACATTGTTTTGCCCCATCCATTTTTCCTGTTATCCTGACAAGTGCTCCAGTCCCTACTACACAGAATCCCCCATAACAGGATATTCCCACCTCCATGCTTCACAGTAGGAATGGTGTTGTGGATGATGAGCTGTACTGGATTTCCGCCAGACAGTTTAGTGGTGAGGCCAAAGAATTCAATTTTAGGCTCATCTGACCAGAACACCTTTTTCCATGTCAACTCAAAATCTTCAAGGTGCCATTTGGCAAAGCTCAGTGGTGACTACACATGGCCTTTCTTGAGGAGCCGCTTTTTTCTTGCAACCCTCATTTCTGGAGGATTTGTGATATTGTCGTATCGTATATTGTCTCTAGTGGCAGAATTGCACGTGTGTTCAGACAATGAAAATCGCAAGTCATCTGCTATATAGATATTGAGGAAGAGCAGACAGAAGGACGTACCTTGACACATGGGAGGATCTGCGTCATGATGACGTTCTCCCGACAGTCGGCTGACAAGTTCTCACAGAATTCTACAACAACAAAACAGCACACTGGAGTCAGAGGATCGGCATTTATATACAAACATCATATATCCTTTAACCCAGTGGTTCTCAACCTGTGGGTCGCGACCCCTTTGGGGGTCGAATGACCCATTCACAGGGGTCCCCTAAGACCATCAGAAAACACATATTTCCGATGTGTAAAGAGCAGCTACTGTGTAGAAAGCAGCTGCTGTGTTGAAAGCAGCTACTCTGTTAAAAGCAGCTACTGTGTTGAAAGCAGCAGTATTGAAGGTAAAACGACACTCATGAATTATAATTACTGGGTAAATAATTTTATGGTTGGGGGTCACCACAACATGAGGAACTGTATTAAAGGGTCACGGCATTAGGAAGGTTGAGAACCACTGCTTTAACCCCTCGCCTACAGGGCACTTATACCCCCTTCCTGTACAGGCCAATTTCCAGATTTCAGCGCTGTCACACTTTGAATGACAATTGCGAGGTCATGCAACACTGTACCCATATGAAAATGTTATTTTTTTTTTTTTTTTTTTTTTTTTTTTTTTTTTTAGACAGAGCTTTCTTTTGATGGTATTTAATCACCTTGGGGTTTTTTTTATTTTTTCTTAAACCAAACACCACTGAAAATTTTGAAAAAAAAAAAAAAAAAAAAAAACGTTTTAGTATTTGTTATAAAATTTTGTAAATAAGTGATTTTTCTCCTTCACTGATGTGTGCTGAGGCTGCACTGATGGGCTCTGATGGGCATTGACAGGCATCACTGATGGGCACTGATACATGGCACTGTTAGGCGGCACTGACTGGCACAGATGGATGACACAAAGGCAGCTCAGATTGGCACTGATATGTGGCATTGATGTGGCACTGAGGCACCTTCACGTGGCACTGACAGCTGGCACTGGACTTTGACAGGTGGCACTGCTTGGGCTACACTGATCATCAAGGCACACTGATCATCAGTGCCCTGCTCATCAGTGTACATGTCCCCTCCGCGGAAAGCCGATTACCGGCTCTCCTCTCGAGCTGTCAGCGTGACAGCTCGAGAGGAGAGAAATGCTGATAACCGGCATTTCCGTGTTTACATGTGATCAGCTGTGATTGGACACAGCTGATCACATGACCGAGCCGACATCTTCGGCTCTTTCCGTGATCTGCTGTGTCCGAGGGACACAGTGGACCGGCGATCGCCGCGCGCTCTCCCTGAGCCGCGCATGAGCAGTGAGAATGGTAGGATGTTATATGACGTCCTATCAGAACGAGAGAACCACCTTGCGCCCGTCATTGGACTATAGGGCGGGCGGAAGGTGGTTATATAATGCAGAAACAGGATTACATCAAAATTCACTATTCCAGCAAAGGCTTTGTTTACATTGCAGAACTCTATTTAGGATAACAGATTATAAATACTGACATGTTTATTTCCAAGTAAGAGAATCAAATACAAATATACATTAACCCCTCTGCACTGGCTCCTTGCATTCCTATAGGTGGGTTTTAGCGCCAGGAGGGGGAGTGGCTCCCTATTTACATGACCGTTGTGATTGGCTCTCAAAGTGGACACATGGTTGGGAGCCCATCCCACTGTCTCCCAATCTAAAGTCGTGAGAGCGGTTGGAAACAGCTCAGACAGTGCGCACTCAGCACACAACCTCAACCGGCCATGGACGGCTTGGTGTTCAAGTGGTTCTGAAACCCAAACTTTTTTTTTTTTTTTTTTTTAAAACTTGCCCTCCAGAGGATTTACCCCCCTTCCTGACCAGGCCATTCATTTTTTGCATTAATTTAACTGACAATTGTGCGGTCATGCAATGCTGCACCCAAATGATCGCCTGTGCGGTTATATTTTGCTCTATAAACAAAAAAAAAAAAAAAAAAAAAAAAGTGACAATTCTAGGGAAAAAAAAAATAAATTACGTTTTAAAATCATGTGATTTGTGTGCTATTTCAGCATGATTTCACATGATTTCTGAAGACTTTATTGCTACTTGTGAAGATTTTCAATGATTTCTTGCAATTTTTAGTGTGATTTTTATTATATTCTATGTATGTGAAAATCGCAACAAAACTGCAGAAAAAGCAATGCAAGAACTACTTTAGAAGTCGCACTGCAGCAAATTGCAATTGTGAATACACTGACATTCACATTCATTAGATGCGATTTCAGGTGCCATTTCAATTCAATCGCACCAGTAACCGGGCAATCGCACCAGTATGACCGGGCAAGACTAAGGTTTCCTGCACAGCCAAGGTCTCGCCCAAGGCCAAGGCCCCAGCCGAGGCTCTCGCCCAAGGCCAAGGTCGCCTGCCCCAGCCGAGGCTCTCGCCCAAGGCCAAGGTCGCCTGCCCAGCCGAGGCTCTCGCCCAAGGCCAAGGTCGCCTGCCCCAGCCGAGGCTCTCGCCCAAGGCCAAGGTCGCCTGCCCCAGCCGAGGCTCTCGCCCAAGGCCAAGGTCGCCTGCCCCAGCCGAGGCTCTCGCCCAAAGGCCAAGGTCGCCTGCCCCAGGCTCTCGCCCAAGGCCAAGGTCCCCAGCCGAGGCTCTGCCCCAAGGTCCAAGGGGTCGCCTGCCCCAGCCAAGGTCGCCTGCCCCAGCCAAGGTCGCCTGCCCCAGCCAAGGTCGCCTGCCCCAGCCAAGGTTTCCTTCCCTAGTTGAGGCTCTCACGCAAGACCAATGTCGCCTGCCCTAGTTGAGGCTCTCATCCAAGAGCAATGTCTCCTGCCCCCACCGTGGCACTCATTCAAGACCAAACGTCTCCTGCCCCAGCTGAGGCTCTCATCCAAGACCAATGTCTAGTGCTCTAGCCAAAGGGCTTATCCAAGACCAATGTCCCATGCCCCAGCCAAGGCTTTCATCCAAACCAATGTCTCCTGCATCCAAGCTGAAGTTCCCATCCAAGACCAACATCTTCTGCCCCTGCTAAAGCACTCATCCAAGACCATTGTACAGCTGCCATAGCAAATGCTTCCATCCAAAGACACCATCTCCTACCAAAGCAGATTCCTATCCAAGACCAAGGTCTTCTGCCTCAGCCAAAGCTCCTGTCCAAGGCCAATGTCATAGAATACCTCTGCAGTAATCTGTTAGCTCTATTTTTATGAAATATATAAGAACAGCCCTAGCCATGCCAGTTAATGGTAATTGAAAGCTTCTCTTTAAGAAGTGAATGATTCTGAATAGAACAGATAATTGAAGCTTTCTTACAGACTTATTATTAACAAGCTGGGGGTGGATCTCATGTATGAGTCAACATAAAATCATCATGAAGTTAAAAAACCACCTTTCTCGTCACCCCCAGCTGCACAATCTCTCTGGTAACTGCCGGATTCCCACAATACAAAAAGACATCAACAAGCGCTTAATGACCCAATCCCGGAGAGCACGATCTAATTTCACTCCAGGTCAGAGCTAGAGGGAGCAAAAATAGTCTTTAAAAATTCAAAGCTCTAATTCGAAGCAAAGTAAATGGGCTAAAACATCAAAGCCTTCTGTAGGATGACGCAGCATCAAGACATGGTGGTCCAATAAACCCCAACAATAACCCATTCTACTGCCTTTGGAATATACTATTGAAAGTTGTATTATGTCTGTTGGATACCCGCAAAAATACCTGCAGGAAATCTTGTGAGCACTTCTCGTGCTGCATCAGTTACACTGTTCTCAGCTCTGTGGACTACAGAACACCCATTAAAGAAATTAGAGAGGGAAGTGTTCTGTAGCTCTGCCATAGGGTGCTAACTCTGCTCCTCTATAGATACAGAAGGGTGACTGAGTGTTGTCTCCCAGGACAAGAAATCCGTTATTGGAAGATCACCAAAAACTAACCCAGCTCCCACATCTATGGATTTATAAGCTGCAATATTAATATTTTGCTATTAGGTTGGTTCAGCACCAATATACGCACACATTTAAAATATATGTAAACCCTCACCTTGTAAAAAAACAACCTATTCAGTAAAGTTTTTCTTATAAGTGATCACATTCTCAGCAGCAGGGGGAAGAGAGGAGGGGAAGAGGGGAAGAGACAGAGGGGGGAAGAGACAGAGGGGGGAAGAGACAGAGGGGGGAAGAGACAGAGGGGGGGGAGAGACAGAGGGGGGGAGAGACAGAGGGGGGGGAGAGACAGAGGGGGGGAGAGACAGAGGGGGGGAGAGACAGAGGGGAGGAGAGACAGAGGGGAGAGAGACAGAGGGGAGAGAGACAGAGGGGAGAGAGACAGAGGGGAGAGAGACAGAGGGGAGAGAGAGATGAGAAAACGAGCCATGAGAAACGAGCCATGAGAAACGAGCCATGAGAAACGAGCCATGAGAAACGAGCCATGAGAAACGAGCCATGAGAAACGAGCCATGAGAAACGAGCCATGAGAAACGAGCCAGCCCATGATGAGAAACGAGCCATGAGAAACGAGCCATGAGAAACGACCATGAGAAACGAGCCATGAGAAACGAGCCATGAGAAACGAGCCATGAGACAGATTGCGCAGCTGGGGGTGGCGAGCAAGATGATTTTTTAACTTCATGACAATTTTGCGTTGACTCATACATGAGAGAGGAGAGTGTCAGGACAAATCTGAGAGGAGTTTGGGTATTGATTGGCATTACAATCATGTATGGTTACACATAAGAGATCATGCAGCTATTAGAGATCCAATGTAAATACAGTTTTTATACTATATACAGGTAATAGGTATTGATAGAGCACGGAAACTATATTTTCTTCATTTGTAAAATCTGAGAGGAGAGCAGGCTGAGATTCCAACACAGGAAAACTGACCACGCTGTGCTTACATCCCTAGTGTGGTCAGTTTTTTAATAGGAAAGCAGAGGGACTAGGAGAAAAACCAGGGATCTCACACAAAGGAAGCAATATAAAGATACAAGTACATGGTACAGCAGCACATATCAGCAATGTGAAATATTGGGTTTACATATTCTTTAACTAGTAACAGGTTCATTCAAATCCTTTCACAGACGAGCCTTACCTTTAACTTTGTGGGAAGCCGCAGCTCGCACCTCCGCCTCACAGTCCTTCATCAGATTCTGGAAGGCCGGGACCAAGTCTGTCTTTGTGATTTCTGGGCCAACTGCTTTCTGGAGCTACATTTGACACAGGGAAAATATCACATAGCTTAAAACAAGCAAGGCAAAAAATGACTACTTCTGTACTAGGAACTGCATGTGAATCGCACGGGAACACGCTGTGTGTTCCTGTGCAAATCCATCTCAGCCCATTAGTTTTGAATGGGCTGAAAAGGCACCACACCAAAAGGTAATGTATGCACTGCAACTGCATCACACGGCACGTTTGTACCATGCACTCCAGTAAAGGCAAACAGTGAGTTTGCAACCTGTTAACTTTGCACTGACAACCACTGCAGATCGCAAGGGCAGTGCAATCTAAAAGTGGAAACTGGCACAGAACACAGGTTTCCTGTATAGCATTCTAGTGTGAATGGGCCCTTACCTAGGCTGAACCTCGCAACGGAGCAATCCTAAAGCGCAGCTGAATGATGCAAACATACTTTAAGGTCCCTTCCACATGGGGCAGACTCTGGCAGTAGTTTGCTTTCTCAGCAGGGGATCTGTCCGCTGTTCCCTGCTGAGCAGGTGGATGGCTGGTCGATGTCCGCTCCCTTTGTGCAGAGCAGACAGACATCCCACTCTCCTCTATGGGTGGTTGGATGCAGGGGCAGACTGACAACTCATGGGGCCCCCGGGCAATAGGGGATCATGGGGCCCCCGGGCAATAGGGGATCATGGGGCCCCTGTGTCCTTGCCCAAACTCAAAAAGCCTATGAAAAAAGGTACCATGGGCATCTCATGGGGCCCCCTACTGACCCCGGGCCCTCAGGCAGTGCCCGAGTTTCCAAATGGCCAGTCCGCCCCTGGTTGGACGTAAACAGACCACCTGTATGTTGACACCCAACTGCCATCTAAACCGCTAGGCCAGGGGTAGGCAACCTTTGGCTCTCTAGCTGTTGTGAAACTACATTTCCCACGAGGCATTGCAAAGATTACAAAACTGACAGTTACAGCTATGACTTGCAGAGGCATAATGGAACTTGTAGTCCTGCGGCTCTCAGGTTGCCTACCCCTACGCTAGACCGTGTGTTTTTAGCAGATCAGATTGGACGTATGCGGGTGTAAATGGACACATCTGTTTACACCCCCAGTCCATAGAGAATGGAGGGTCCGATCGGGTCTTCCTGAAAAACGGACAAGCAGACCTGATTGGCCTGCACATATAAAAAGGAGCCTAAAGTATGTTCACACTACATGTGGTGGGAATGCATTGGTCAGCTATTCCAGCGCAGTCCCACCACATGGACGAGGCAAAATGCCTTGTCTTCTATGTACCCGGTGTCACAAAAATATATATATATGTATATAAAGACACAGCAAAGAGATAATTAGGAAGAAGACTACAGGGTTGAGTTACTTGCCCATATGCCTGGGTTTGCAGTCCAAGTTGTGAGCAGGGTGATTTCTTTGATCTCCTCTTGTTAGGATGTTGCTGGGAGATCTCTGTGTGTTAAAAAACTTTCACTCTCTCTCTAGGCTTGTCAGCCTGTCTTTTTTAAAAGTCCCTCACAAAGGGAGGGGGGGGGGGGGCTCTGACTACACCTTTTGGGAGTGGTCATTGGGAGATTTTAAACTGAAACTGCCAGCTCATGTCCCATGATATGAAACATATGTTTGACCTGAGGAATGTTCAGTTCTGGGTCAGGTTGATAAGGTGTGGGGCTTACATAGCTTTGGGTGACCAAAGTGACACCTCCGCAGATGGGCTGGCTCCACTTCTCATGTCCTAGCCTGGTTGTTCCACATCATCTGCCAGGAGATAAAGTCTGCCTCACAGGAATGCAAGGGGGGGGGGGGGGGGGATGTGAGGAATGATTCAAGGAATACCTCAACTACAACAAGGTAAAGGAGAACTCTGCTTCCAGTTGGAGGAGCTAGTTTGCTACACCCGGATCACACGACTTTGTAGATGGCAGGGTTTTGCTCCCATATGTCAATGTTGCCCCCAGTACTTTTTTTCAGCATAGCACACAGCGAGGCAACCCACTTTGTGATGGCAATTGAACTTTATTAGAAAAAAATTTAAAAATTTTTTCGATGTGCATAATCTTTGATCCAGCCCCGCCGATCTCAGCCCTACGATGCAATGCAGCAGCTGGTGTGAACGAGCCCTAACAGTCTGACCGATTTACCTCTGTGAATTTGTCTGCCACCATGTAACGAACACGCCAGGACTTATCCTCAGCAGCTTGTCTCAGTGTCGGCATCACCAGCGGCTCCAGCTCTTCCTGAGGTAGAAGCTGAGCAATATTCACACAGGCCTCCACGGCCAAAAGACGGACAGAATCCTGAGGAACACACACGTGATAAACATACTGAGCCGGCCGCAGATACAGAACGATCGATTAACTCCGTGTAAAAGAACTTTACCTGCTCATCTGAGGCCAGGTTGGAGAACATTGGGATTATTTCACTTTTGACATGTTCCAGCTCCAATACTTTTGCAAATTCCCCCAATTTAGAGGCAGCTGCTCGTCTTACCATTGGGGTGTCATCTGAACACAGATTCCGGAAATGTCTGAATTTGAAGGAAGAGAAACATCACAACTGAAGTAAAAGAAACTAAATAGGTTTACACACTTCTGAACAATGGGGGTGGAATGCTTCATCCTTCCTTTCAGCTACTAGCTCCATGCCGGGCACTGATTACAGTATTTTCTGGCGTAGAAGACTACTTTTATACTTAAAAATATACCCCAAAAATTGGGGGTCGTCTTATATGCGGGGTATAAAATGTGATCTTGAGAGTGTTTGGGTCAAGCTGGCTGGATGTGTGGTAATATTGTACATACAGTATACTGTGCTGCGCCAAGCTGGCTCAAAACAAATGACCCTATGAGAGATTAACCTGTCAGCCCGCTGGATGTGCGGTATATACAGTATACTGAGCCAAGCGGTTTTTTAAAACGTACCGGTACGTCCCTACGGTAATCAGCCCGCTGGATGTGCGGTAATACGGTAGCTTCGGGCTACATACAGTATATATACACTGGGCCAATCACGGCGATGCGATGTAGTAATGTACATACAGTATACCGCGATGAGCCAAGCTGCTTGGAAAACAAATGTCCCTGAGTCAAGAGGGGGGCTGCTGATGTGCGGTACATACAGTATACTGCGCTGAGCCAAGCAGGCGGTATTCATTAGTAAAACACATCGCTCGCCGTGATACGTCCCTACTGTAATCATACCGCTGGATGCGTATGTAGCGGCTACAGCTACCGTATACACTGGGCACATCACAGCGGGCTGATTACAGTAGGGACGTATCGGTACGTTTTGAAAGCTTGGCTCAGTATACTGTATATACCGCACATCCAGCGGGCTTTGTATTCATTATATATACTGTATACTGTATGTAGCTGAAGCCGCTACCGTATTACACACATCCAGCGGGCTGTATATATACTGTATACTGTATGTAGCTGAAGCCGCCGTATTACTGCACATCCAGCGGGCTGTATATATACTGTATACCGTATTTGTAGCCGAAGCCGCCGTATTACCGCACATCCAGCGGGCTGTATATATACTGTATACTGTATGTAGCCTGAAGCTGCCGTATTACTGCACATCCAGCGGTAACCATCCGATTTGGAATTTGATCCATATGATGACTGTCTTACAAATGTATCACAAGATGTCATTCATGAACTTATGATGCCAGAGGATGAACATGAGGATTTTGAAGGATTTTAAGTACCGGTAAGTCATAACCATTTCAATTAAAAAAATCTGATGTTTTTAAATGGTGTTGCCTCGGAAGGGGGGTAGTCTTATACAGCGAGTATAGCCCAAAACCTATGTTTTAACTGGAAAATTAGGGGGTCGTCTTATATGCCAGAAAATACGGTATATATATTTTTTTTGTACAAATGTAATCTCCCTTGCACTCGGGGCACTCCCATACCAGCAGTCTTGCCACTCCCCACAAAGGCCCACCATTATTTTATTTTTAATTACAGGTACTTATATAGTGCAGTCAATTATTACACAAGTCACTTTGAAATTATATATACATATATACACACACACTCTGATATATAGTGGCTAAATGGTTAGCACTTCCGCCTGGCAGTACTCGGGTCGCTGGTTCGAGCCACGGCACCTCCTGCCTGGAGTTTGCATGTTCTCCTGTGCCTGCGTGGGTTTCCTCTGGGTACTCCGGTTTCCTCCCACACTCCAAAACATGCTGGTAGGTTAATTGGATCTTGTCTAAATTGTCCATAGTATTGTATGTATGAATGTGAGTTAGGGACCTTAGATTGTACCCCCTTGAGGGTCAGGGACTGATGTGAATGTACAATATATATGTAAAGTGCTGCAAATTGACGGCGCTATACAAGTACCTGAAATATCTATATATATTATATAAATTATATATGTGTGTAGGTATGTATACACACACACTTTTCACGCACGCACACACACACACCCACGCACACACACACACATACACGCACACACACACACATACCCCGGCAGTACCGGGTCACACACAATACCACGCCACGCACCACCTGCACGCACACGCACACACCACGCACCTGCATGGGTTTCCCCACGCACACACACATTTCCGCCACACACATACCGCACACACACATACACGCACACACACATACACGCACACACACATCACGCACACACACATACACGCACCACACACACGCACACACACAATGTGAGCACAGGGACCATAGATTGCCAGCATGTCTTTGTATTATGGGAAGAAACCGGAATTCCTGGAGGAAACCCACGCAGGCACAGGAGAACAGGCAAACTCCAGGCAGGTGGTGCCGTGTGTTGGGATTCGAACCAACGACCATAGTACTGCCAGGCGGAAGTGCTAACCACTTAGCCACTGTGCTGCCCATAATACCCTTGCCTCCCAAGTTCTCCCCCTTTTCCTGTGGCCTTGCTTGCGTTCCCATGTGTCTACTCACTGTCTAAGTTCCGCTTTTACAGTGCTGGAGACCCGTGGATAACACACGCTGAACAGACCGCATGCAGAAGTGCGTGAGGTGAACCAGTCGCCGCTGGCCAAGCGCTTCACCAGGGGTACAAAGTGCGCCTCGAGGTCTGAGGGAGAGTGTTCATGAGAAATGGCTCGGAGGGATTCCACGGCTTTGTCCCTCACCACTGTCTCCTCAACAGTGGCCAAACTCTCTAACGGCGGCTGGAAGACAAGAGGAAAAAAAAAAAAGTCACTTTTTTTGTGGTCAACCAGGCTTTCAAAAAGGTAAAAAAATACAGAAGCCGCCATGGAAATAGACAGACAGACATTCAGGGATATCATTCAGATCCTTAACCACTTGGTGACCACCACCTGTAGCAGTACGGCAGCAAAGCGGCTCTCCTGAGCCGGAACACGTATCTAGTAAGTGATCCGGCAATTCCAGGTAGGGCACGCACAGTCGCCGGCTGTGTTGTGAGTAAACCGCACATGTTGAACAGTGGACGCTGGCCAATGATTGACCACTGTCACCTGCTCATTGGCGAGGAGGAAGACCGGGTCAATGCAAATACAGAGCTCTGGCCTGTCAGTGGGGATGTGCCAATATTTTTCCCTGTAAAGCAGGGAATGAAAACCCACAGATCCCTCATAGTGAAAGCACCTCAGTGCATGCAAACACTGGTTAGGGCACACATTTAACCCTTTGATCAACCCAGATGTTTAATCCCTTCCCAGCCAGTGTCATCAGTACAGTGATAGTGTATATTTTTAGCACTGATTATAATTAGTGTCATTGGTTTCCACAAAGTCAAAAGTGTCATTTTGCTCGCATTTTGTCCCGCTATCGTTGCCATTACTAGTAAAAAAAAAATAAAAATTCTAGTATATACCATAGTTTGTAGACACTATAACTTTCACACAAACCAATCAATATATTCTTATTCGGGTTTTTTTTACCAAAAAGTTTGAAAATCGACCCATGTTTGGCTGTCCTAATGCTTGATAGGACTGCCAACCTAATTGAGTAAATGATGGTCAGAGAGTGGACAGGATATATTCTGGGCTGGGGATAAGCTGCAGAAGACAATACGAAACTGGGAACATGTTACATGAGGCTAGCAGATCAATGCGAATACCACAATCAATGTTAGCACTGCAGACTGCTGAGATCTGAGGGCCGCATGTGGCCCTTGGGCCACAGGGATACAGATGAAAAGGTCTTCTAAAACAGAAGTAGGGGGAGTAGATTTTTAAGGACACATACCAGTAAGCAGTGTACATATTCTGGTCCCCCAACCAGTGAAGTAAAGGTCCCCAATTGTTCAGCCAAAGCCAGCAGCACTTCATCTTCATCATAGATCGTATCTGCAAGACAAAGGAATCAGTCAGTCAGCGCCCTGTGCCAAGCCCTCCAGCGCTCACTGGAGTACCGGACTGTGGAGGGGGCCAGCTGCTGGTCTGGCATCTGGGCAGATCCTGACATTATCAGGATCCCTGCAGAGCCTGGAACGGCTCTGTGACATCAGACAATAGTAGGCCTTAGCCCTCTGTATCTGGTTCACAGGAGTGCAAAACTAAGCGCACCCTTGTGATCCATAGAAGTATGGCCAAAAGAGCTTTGGCTTTACTTCTCATTTAAACCCCTCCACAGTATCAATCTGCTAGTAATTTTTGAACATATAAAGAAAGCACACCATATGTGCTTATTCTATATATTTAAAGTAACAGTTTCCACTGATCCTGTAGCTTTTCTGAAGCGGATAGTTTCCCACACTACTGTCTTTTCCCTTAACTGTACCTTTGTATTGGGGCAGGGTTTCCCCCAAAATGACAGGTAGGGAATATTCAGGAAGAAAATCCACAAAACAAAAATCAGAAGCAGCGAGAGCCTCATAGTTCAGGTCTTCAGGTACAGCTTCCTCTCCAGCAAGGAGAACATATATTTACCCCAGCGCCAAGAATACCTTTATGTTTACTGTGAAGTAATGATCCATGCATGGATTGTTTTTACTCTGGAATCCTTTATTCTACAAGTTATCAGTCTCTATGCCGCCAGCCCGCTTCACTAACTTCAAGCCTCCTTGTTATTAAAAAGGAGTCAGTTATGTCTTCACTTGCTTTCCTTTTATGACTGATTCATGAATACTTAAAGGATAAGTGCACCTTTTGAATACGTTACATGTTACACCCATTTTTAGAGTGGAATATGTAACATGTTCCAGCATCTGCACCCTTAATCCCCACCCCTATGACAATCGGCGGCAATCTTCTGCCCACACCCGCTATCACAATTTGAAAACCGTGTGGCCTTGCGGGACTCCACCCACAAAGCCACATCAGTCATAACTGCACTTTTTATACCTGCAAAAGAGTTTCTTTCACAAAGGTGAATGTACCCCTTCACGCCGGATCGTCCTGGCGTGAAGAGGAGTTCCTGCGCCGGGACAGGCGTGGCTTAGTGTCATGTGGCCGCCGTGACGTCACGTCACATGATCGTGAAAGGTCCCGATCGAAAGAGCGGACCAGGCCCTTTCCGTGAGTACCCGACATGTGTGCTGGGAGCGCGCGCGCTCTCAGCACATATGTTTTTTGAACATGAACGTAAATGTGCGGCCGCACTGCGTCTAGGCCCAGACGCCGGGAGGCCGCACATTTGCGTGCGGCCGGAGTGAAGGGGTTATAGCAGAACTTCAATCAAAAGGGGAAGTTCTCCTTTAAGTCGCCCTCCTCCTCCCCCCTCTCCGCTATTTGGTATATTTTTTTTGGTGTGGGGCGGATACCTAGTTTTGACAGGTCCCCACTCCCACTTCTGCTTGGATCACCTCCTCCCTTCCCTCAGTCTTCTGGGGCATGTCATAGGTCCCTGAAGACTGCGGGACCATTCATAAAGTCCATTCACAAAGTGCAGTGCGGTTCGTGCATGTGCCTTGGGCAGCCGGCTGTGAGGCCGAAATCAGCATAGCCAGCTACCCACAGACTAGCCCGGGTGAGGACGGCACTGGATATCTGGACAGGCAAGTGTCCTTTTATTAAAAAGTCAGTATTTGTAGAGTGAACAACCGCTTTAAATGCCAATTAAAGAGATGGACAACTTGACCATCCTGGGAAAAGTGACAACGTGCTGGAAAAAGCATCCCCTGACAACCCCCCATAATCCTTTGCAGCTTCTTGCTCCTTTACAGCCTTTGAGAATAACCAGCACTTTCGGGTATGGAGGATCATATGACCCGCCCCTCTAAGAGGAGTCCTATCACTGAGGAAATGAAGTCACTGCTCCTCCAGATCAACACTAAAGGGCTTGTTTACTAAAGCTGGAGAGTGTAAAATCAGGATCACTTCTGCATAGAAAACAATCAGCTTCTAACCTCAGCTTGTTCAACTAAACTTTGGCAACAGAACCCCAAAGCTGCAGAAGTGAGCCCAATTTTGCACTCTCCAACTTTATTAAATGTGGTGCGCCAAAATAAAAATTGGAAAGCGAAAATTCAGGGTGCATTTGGGCGAAAACCGAAACAGGTTTTTGTAAGAAAAAAAAAAAATAAATGTAAATTAAAAAAAAAAAAAAAAAATTATATATATATATATATATATATATATATATATAATATAAAATATATATATAAATATAAATAAAAAAAAAAAAAATATATAGAATAAATATTAAAAAAATATATATATATATATATAAAAAATAAAAATATATATAAATATAAAAAAAATATATATATATATATTCGCCTTTATAATTAATACCATGCATTTAAATAAGAATTTATTTTCAGCACATTTTTGGCAAATAGGCTGCTTTCAGACTGAGCAGTTTTTGAAGCGCTTTTGCGTTAACAAAAAGCTCAAGAACAACGCATCCCTTTAAACTCAAGGTATGTCTGCACACTGGTCCGTTGTGCTTCCCTTGCGGTGTTAAACATCCTGATTGCCACATTTTTGGTGCATTTGTTCAGTTAAAAAAAAAAAATCCCCAAAACATACCTCCCCATTGAGGCCTGATTCACAGCAATGCGTTTTAGTGCATTTTGAAGGTTTCACATGCTTTTTTTTTATGCTTTTTTGAGCTGCTGCGTTTTTGGAAAGGGTCACGGAATTTTTTAAAATGCAAAACGTATTGCTTTTGGTACAACAGACTTCATTGGAGATGCTGCATGTAGTGCGATTTTAATCTACCCACCAACAAGCTGTCCAAACAAAATGCAAAACACATGAAAAAAAAAAAAAAAAAAAAGCACAAGCTAAAAAGCAATACGCACTTCAAAACAGACACTGCAAACTACAATTGTGTGAACCAGACCTGAAATGCATTGAAAAGGCGACAAAATTACGTGTGTTGTGTTTTTGATGCGCCACATCAGTTGAATGATCTCTGAAACACACCCTAAACGCAGGTAAAGTTGCAGGTAAAAATTGCAGCAAAATTGCACGTTTTTCGATAGCCATTATCGGCACCTTTTTCCCTAAATGCAGATAACACTACTGTCGGCTGGTACACTGGTGCCGAAAATACACCCCAAAGAGACCACAGATGAGGAAGGGAAATGGGGATCAGATGTCCTTTCTAGAGACAAAGGGGTTTATTTACTAAAGCTGGAGAGTGCAAAACCAGGCTCACTTCTGCAAAGGAACCAATCAGCTTCCAGGTTTTATTGCCAAAGCTTAAATGAACAAGCTGAGGTTAGAAGCTGATTGGTTCCTATGCAGAAGTGAGCCTGGTTTTGCACTCTCCAGCTTTAGTAAATGAACCTCACACAGGGATGTGCAATTTAAATCGCCCGACACCCGGGACATGTAGTTCTGGGCGCCGGGCAGGCAGTTTTTTTTCCTCCCTTTAGCTGTCAGGTGGAAGCATTCGGGCAGGATTGCTTACACACAGCCTCAGCCCCTCCCTGCCAGCTTTGTCTCCCAGGCCCCGCTTGTCCATCTGTGGGCCCGGGACCAGTCAATGGCTGCCGGTGGGTATAGGGGAGGGAGGAAAGCGAACACATCTGCTCCCCTCCCCTTCTTGTCTTGACCCAGAAGTCATATGGGGGTTTATTTACTAAAGCTGGAGAGTCCAAAATCAGACTCCCTTCTGCATAGAAACCAATCAGCTTCCAGGTTTCATTGCCAAAGCTTCATTGAACAAGCTGAGGTTAGAAGCTGATTGGTTTCTATGCAGAAGGGAGTCTGATTTTGGACTCTCCAGCTTTAGTAAATAAACCCCATGATGTCACTTCCGGGTCCCCACTAACAGATTCCCGGCCATGGAGGCCAGGAAAGAATGTAATGCAGTGCGATGTGCACTGCATTACATCCAGTGTAGTACAGGGGAGACATGCAAGGTCTTTTAGACCCTGGATGTCTCACTAAAGAGAACCGGTCACCAAATGTCATCACATAGGGGACAACCCATATGCGATTTATAAAAAAAAAAGTTAAAGTAAAAAAAATTTTTTTTTCCCCAATTAAAAAATATTAAAGTTACACCCAAGCATACAACCCCCCCAAAATTTTTCAAGGCCCTCCACCCTTACACGTGAACGCACGTACAAACGTAAAAGCCTGCGCATGAAAACGACCACCGCAATACACTTTACATATCGCCGCGCACGCCAGAACGAGCGCAATAATTCTAGCACCCGACCTCCTCCATAACGCAAAACTGATGACCTATAAGGGGCTTTAGAAGCATCGCCTATAGAAAATATAGGGTTCTTAAAGTTTGTCGTCATTTCACGAGCCCTCGCAAATTTAAGGTTTGACATGTTGGATATCCATTTACTCGATGCAACCTCGCCTTTTATATTTTACAAAAAAAAAAAATGGGATAATTTATTGCTTTTTGTACCATAAAATTAACGCGTGTATTTTTTACTGAAATTTTGCATTTCCTAGACCTTTGTGATAATATCATACGACATAAAAAATTGGAACTACCGCTATTTATTCTCTAGATCAGTGGTTCTCAACCTTCCTAATGCCGTGACCCTTTAATACAGTTCCTCATGTTGTGGTGACCCCCAACCATAAAATTATTTACCCAGTAATTATAATTCATGAGTGTCGTTTTACTGCTGTTTCAACACAGTAGCTCTTTTAACAGAGTAGCTGCTTTCTACACAGTAGCTGCTTTCTTTAGCTGCTTTCTACACAGTAGCTGCTTTCTAAAAAATGCTTTCTACACAGTAGCTGCTTTCTACACAGTAGCTGCTTTCTAGTAGCTGCTTTCTACACAGTAGCTGCTTTCTACACAGTAGCTGCTTTCTACACAGTAGCTGCTTTCATACACAGTAGCTGCTTTCTACACAGTAGCTGCTTTCTACACAGTAGCTGCTTTCTACACAGTATTGGACACAGTAGCTGCTCTCTACACAGTAGCTGCTCTCTTCACAGTAGCTGCTCTCTACACAGTAGCTGCTCTCTACACATCGGAAATATGTGTTTTCTGATGGTCTTAGGGGACCCCTGTGAATGGGTCATTCGACCCCAAAATCATGGGTCGCGACCCCACAGGTTGAGAACCACTGCTCTAGAGTCTCCGATTTCAGAAAATATATGTTTTGGAATTTTGTGTCATCTTCAGGCCTAAAATGATTTTTTTAAACGTGTGCAAAAAAATGCGAAAACGGCTCTGGCAGCGAAAGGGATAAAGTCTGACACTCCCCTTTCCTGACAAGCATCCAATCAGTGCTCATCACACTGCAAGGTCTCCCCCTTCCCTGCTAGTCCCGGGGTGCGGTGCTGGAGACAGGAAGGGAGGGGAGGACATATACAGCGCGAGGTTAAAAATATTAAACATTTAAAGCGGAGTTCCACTCGACCTAGAAAGAAAAAAAAAAAAAACAAAAAAAGGCAGAAGCTATAAAAAAACTGTAGCTGCTGAATTTTAAAAAACAGCCACTTACCCGTCCCTCGGCCCCATGGTGTCCCCCCCGCAGCCCGTTTCACCGGCTGCCCATGATTCCAGGAGGATGGCATCTTCAGCGTGGGCACCCGGCTGTGACAGTTTATGGCTTCATAGCCGGGTACCCACTGCGCATGCGCGAGTAGCGCTGCGCTTCATGAATGGTCCTGTAGTCTTCTGGGACCTGTCACGTGTCCCAAAAGACTACAGGGAGGGAGGACACCTTTGTTTCCGATCGCCTAGGTGATCGGAACGGAAACCTGTCAAATTCGGGTACCCGCTCCCCAAAGGTGCCAATCCTTAACAGGGAGCGGGGGAGCAGTCCTTAAAGCGGAACTTCCCCTTTTGGGTGGAGCTCCACTTTAAGTCGCCATAAAGTCCCTTCTGTTTTTAAAAGTCCCAGATGTTACTTAAAGCAGATTTAAATACAGTTTTGGTTCAAATTTGTTTTTTGTTTTATCATCAGAACAAGTAGATTGTCATGTGGGACAAGTAGATTGGGGCCCCGATTTAGTCCCTGGACAAGTAGTTTGGGGCCCCGATTTAGTCCCTGGACAAGTAGTTTGGGGCCCCGATTTAGTCCCTGGACAAGTAGTTTGGGGCCACGATTTAGTCCCTGGACAAGTAGTTTGGGGCCCCAATTTAGTCCCTGGACAAGTAGTTTGGGGCCCCGATTTAGTCCCTGGACAAGTAGTTTGGGGCCCCGATTTAGTCCCTGGACAAGTAGTTTGGGGCCCCGATTTAGTCCCTGGACAAGTAGTTTGGGGCCCCGATTTAGTCCCTGGACAAGTAGTTTGGGGCCCCGATTTAGTCCCTGGACAAGTAGTTTGGGGCCCCGATTTAGTCCCTGGACAAGTAGTTTGGGGCCCCGATTTAGTCCCTGGACAAGTAGTTTGGGGCCCCGATTTAGTCCCTGGACAAGTAGTTTTTTAAAAAATGTCCACAGTCAATTTTTCCTCTTTCATAACTGGCATTACTTGTGACCGCCTGTCTAAATTATCAGCAGAAAGTCTGCTCTGTTCTCCCACAAGACACACTTACCTGTCAGGAATGGCAGAAGCTCACTGCGGGTCCTTTCTACACCCAAAGCCAAAGCGATAGTGGAGAGCTTCTTAATACTGTTCAGGCGGAGCTGCAGACAAATCACAAAAAACACTTTATAAACCTCCGATGTCACACCATGGGCACACTCTGCCTTTTCAACATCATTTTGGAAGAGCTGATGGGCAGCACAGCAACTTAGAGCCCAAGATCTGAACCATTGATGTTTGAATCCTGGTCAGGACACCACCTGCCTGGAGCTTGCATGTTCTCTCTGTGCCTGCGTGGGTTTCCTCCGGATTCCTCCCACACTCCAAAGATAGGCTGGTACATGAGTTGGCTCCTGTCTACATTGGCCCTAGTATATGTATGTATGTGAGTTAGGGACCTTCGATTGTACACCCCTTGAGGGTCAGGGACTGATGAGAACGAACAGTTTCTAAAGCGCTACATAAATGGTTGGCAACCTAAAAAATGCCTTTATAAAAAAAAAAAAAAAAAAAAAAGCTTAAAGGATAAGTTCACTTTTTGGACAATAATAATAAATGCACATTCTGGTCCCCCCTCCCTCTCTGTATACACACTTGTCCTGTCCTCCCCCTCTATAAATACTGCCCACCAACCACCCTGCCACTACATACTGCCCTATCCTCCCACTACATACTGCTCACCGACCACCCTGCCACTACAGGCTGTCCACCAACCACCCTGCCACTACAGGCTGCCCACCAACCACCCTGCCACTACAGGCTGCCCACCAACCACCCTGCCACTACAGGCTGCCCACCAACCACCCTGCCACTACAGGCTGCCCACCAACCACCCTGCCACTACAGGCTGCCCACCAACCACCCTGCCACTACAGGCTGCCCACCAACCACCCTGCCACTACAGGCTGCCCACCAACCACCCTGCCACTACAGGCTGCCCACCAACCACCCTGCCACTACATGCTGCCCACCGACCACCCTGCCACTACTTACTGCCCTATCCTCCTACTACATACTGCTCACCGACCACCCTGCCACTACAGACTGCCCACCAACCACCCTGCCACTACAGACTGCCCACCAACCACCCTGCCACTACAGACTGCCCACCAACCACCCTGCCACTACTTACTGCCCTATCCTCCCACTACATACTGCTCACCGACCACCCTGCCACTACATACTGCCCTATCCTCCCACTACATACTGCCCTATCCTCCCACTACATACTGCCCTATCCTCCCACTACATACTGCCCTATCCTCCCACTACATACTGCTCACTGACCACACTACCACTACATACTGCTCACCGACCACCCTGTCACTACATACTGCCCACCGACCACCCTGCCACTACATACTGCCCTATCCTCCCACTACATACTGCCCTATCCTCCCACTACATACCACCCCCACTGACCACCCTGCAACTACATACCGCTCACCGACCACACTACCACTACATACTGCCCTATCCTCCCACTACATACTGCTCACCAACCACCCTGCCATTACATACTGCCCACCGACCACTCTGCCACTACATACTGCCCTATCCTCCCACTACACACTGCTCACCGACCACCCTGCCACTACATACTGCCCTATCCTCCCACTACACACTGCTCACCGACCACCCTGCCACTACATACTGCCCTATCCTCCCACTACATACTGCTCACCCAACCACCGTGCCATTACATACTGCCCACCGACCACTCTGCCACTACATACTGCCCTATCCTCCCACTACATACTGCTCACCAACCACCCTGCCATTACATACTGCTCACCGACCACACTGCCACTACATACTGCCCTATCCTCCCACTACATACTGCTCACCAACCACCCTGCCACTACATACTGCTCACCGACCACCTGCCACTACATACTGCTCACCAACCACCCTGCCATTACATACTGCCCACCGATCCTCTGCCACTACATACTGCCCTATCCTCCCACTACATACTGCTCACTGACCACACTGCCACTACATACTGCTCACTGACCACTACATACTGCCCTACTCCCACATACTGCCACTGACCACGCTACCACTACATACTGCTCACACGACCACCCTGCCACTACATACTGCCCTATCCTCCCACTACATACTGCTCACTGACCACCCTGCCACTACATACTGCCCTACTACATACTGCTCACTGACCACCCTGCCACTACATACTGCCCTATCATCCCACTACATACTGCTCACTGACCACCCTGCCACAACCTTTTCCTGACTGCTATGTTACTACATATTGCCCACTGAGCGCCCTCCCACTACATACTGCCCACTGACTTGAATACTGTACAGGTAGAAGGCGCCTCTATGTCATATTACTACCCACTGAACTCCGTGTCACAAACTACACTTTAGATTGCTAGGCCCTGAGATTGTACAGAATTCCAAACAGGTGGTCTAAGCAGAACCTTTTAGTGTTGTATAGGGGGGTGGGGTGGGGTGGGGGGGAGGGTTAGACCCCGTCAGGCCTTTATTGCTATCTGTGTCCCTGTTGGGGAGATTCCCCCTCTATTTGTACTGGTGACCACTGAAAGACAATGAGGGGGGAACCCATAATGTTAGAATTGTCACCATAAAAGGGGGTAAGGGGAAAACCGTCCAATGGGGACACCTGTTCTGGTGACAAAGGGCGGAGGGGGATCCCTTTCACTTCCTGTTGTCTCTCTGGAACAGGAAGTTAAATATCTAAAAGAGGCTGTTAATCCTTCTCTACTTGATAAATAGGGGCCCCTGATAGTATTCATGGAGGGGGGGGGGGCTGTATACTTTTCAGGCCTGCAGAGTGAGGGGGCCCCACCTCAAGCATGCAGTGTAATGGCTCCCCCTACTATACACTGTCAGGGGTCTTTACTCCTAAAGCCTTCAGGGTAAGAGTCCCCACATAAGAACTGTGAGGGGCCCCTCCACCTCAGGACCCATTTTATATCACTGTAAGGGGCCCATCTTCCTAATCCTACTAGGTAAGGGCACCTCAAACTAAGAACTATGGGGAGTCCCTCCATCACAGGCCTGCAGACTTAGGGCCCTCTTTACTGCTGGGGGCCCATACACTTTAATTGTACAGGGTAAGGCGCCCCCTCTGGAACCTACAGGGTAAGGGCCCCTTAAACTAAGCAATGTGGGGGGGGGGGGGTCCCTCCATCTAAGGTCTGCAGACTGAAGGCCCCCCTTTTCTGCTACGGCCCATACACTTGGGACGTACAGGGCAAAGGCCTCCCCCATGTTGACACTGAGGGGCCCCTACACCCCAGGACGTTTACTGATACTGTCAGGGGCCCCTCTATGTCAGGCCTGCAGACTGAGGGGCCCCCTTAAATGCCAGGGGCCCTTACACTTTAAGCGTACATGGTAGGGGCCCCCTCCTGACACTGTGAGGGGCCCCTTAGCTTCAGACTCTTGATACGGTTGATGGGGGGGGGGTAATACTTTCCAAGTCAAGGTGAGGGCCCCTCCACCTCAAGCCTGCATAGTAAGGGCCCCCTCCCTCCAATACACAGTCAGGGGCCCCTCCTTTACAGTCCTACTAGGGGGCCCCTCCTCTTTAGGAGTAGAAGGGGAAGGACTTATCCTCAGTGTGAGGGCCCCTATACTGACCATCCCCCTCCTCTGGCCTACACTGCCCCCAGCCAGCCATGGCGGTATTAGCAGGCCGCCTCCTCACCTGCACGTCCTCATTCCGCAACTCATCGATGAGGACGGCGATGGGATACAGAGAATCGTCCCCGTCAGCCGCAGCCATGATCGCTTCTTCCTGCCAGCCGGAGAGTGAGGGGGGGGAGGAGTCGAGGACGGAGGGGCGCCGAGCCTGTCACGCAGGGGCAAACAAGCCACACCCCTCCAGACTTATGTTTATAGAGCAACGAGTCCCTCCAACCTCTAGGAGGGCGGAGACAGGTTGCTATAGGATTCAAAAGAAAAAGGCGGGCCTTTGCTGAGGCCGAGTCGGCCATTTTAAGAAAGGGATAATAGGAAACAGTAGCGAATCTGAGATCCATGACAAATCTAAACCAGTTCCGTGTCATCATGTTTATTAATATTAGGCGCTGTTAAAATACCACACTAGGTCAATATATTGTACAGATAACGTGGGCGAAGGGACTGAGGGGGCGGGGCCAGCTGTGGTAATCTCTCACTGTAATGTGTTTGGCCTGAGACACGCTCTGCGCAGCTCGCTAATTTTCCATTTGTGACGTCATTGGTCTCGCTGTAACGTGTTTAATGCACGAGAAGGGCCAATCACGTTACAGCGAGAGACCAATGACGTCAAAATAGTTAAATAAGCGAGCTGAGCAGAGAGCGTCTCAGTCTGCAACTGGTCGGCCAGAAGAGAGGCACGGATTGGACGACTTCCCAGCCATCCCGGACAAGTCCCTCCCACATCAATAAATTTACACAGGGAAGACAGCGAGGATAGAGGTTTTGGAGACGGCTGCGGCCATTTTAAGTAAGGGATCGGCGGAAATCAGAGAGGGTGGCAGAGACATTGCAGAACCATATAACGCCCATTTTATCATGTTAGGTTATGTTCGCACTAGCTTTGTCAGCAGGCGTTTAGGAAGCGTTTTTAACGCTTCTCAAACGCCTATGAAAATTCAGTGGCAGACCACAGTGCTGTTCACTCTGAAGCGTTGGCGTCGCGGCAAAACTGACGCCTCGTGTCCAGTCAGGAGGAGTGGAAGCCTCCCATCTTATGTGCATGAGAGGAAGACGTGTAGTCTCTTCCACATGCCTAATTCTCCAAGCAGGTGACATTGATCTAGCATTTTTTTTTTAGATTTTTCAGAGACCTGCTACCCTCTCTATGTACCGGAAATTTCACATCCATCTGAGGATCCATACAAAACATTGAAGTCTCCTGCCGCAATCAAACCACCTTTTTTGAAATCCATTTCAATGTGTTTTTCAAAAATATCTCCGGTTTCTTATTCTATTCTGCCTGGTAGGATCGTCAATTAAATTTGGCTTCACCTACTTGCTGCTATTGGGTTAGAGGCTTAGTCCACACAAGGAACGAGACTGCGATCTGCCCTCTTTTTCTTTCCGCATTGCTTTTCTCGGCCTTTTGGCCATGATCAAGTTTAGTATCGACCTAGGCCCTTAGGGGTGTCCCTGCTGTCCAGCTGCGTCGTTGAGAAGTTCTTTCGATCTATTCAAGCCTTTTGGTCCTTGTGGGGGTACCCTCTGCTCGGCCTGGTTAGATCGTCAATTAAATTTGGCTTCACCTACTTGCTGCTATTGGGTTAGAGGCTTAGTCCCCACAAGGAACGAGACTGCGATCTGTCCTACTTTTCTTTCCGCATTGCTTCTCTTCTCGGCCTTTTGGCCATGATCAAGTTTAGTATCGACCTAGGCCCTTAGGGGTGTCCCTGCTGTCCAGCTGCGTCGTTGAGAAGTTCTTCGATCTATCCAAGCCTTTTGGTCCTTGTGGGGTACCCTCTGCTCGGCCTTTTAGAATCGTCAATTAAATTTGGCTTCACCTACTTGCTGCTATTGGGTTAGAGGCTTAGTCCCCACAAGGAACGTGACTGCGATCTGCCTGCTCTTTCTTTCCGCATTATTGCTTCTCGGCCTTTTGGCCATTATCAAGTTTAGTATCGACCTAGGCCCTTAGGGGTGTCCTTGCTGTCCAGCTGCGTCGTTGAGAAATTCTTCGATCTGTCCAAGCCTTTTGGTCCTTGTGGGGTACCCTCTGCTCAGCCTCGTAGGATTGTCAATTAAATTTGGCTTCACCTACTTGCTGCTATTGGGTTAGAGGCTTAGTCCCCACAAGGAACGAGACTGCGATCTGCCCTCTTTCTTTCCGCATTGCTTCTCGGCTTTTTGGCCATGATCAAGTTTAGTATCAACCTAGGCCCTTAGGGGTGACCTTGCTGTCCAGCTGCGTCGTTGAGAAAATTCAATCTGTCCAAGCCTTTTGGTCCTTGTGGGGTACCCTCTGCTGGGCCTGGTAGGATCGTCAATTATATTTGGCTTCACCTACTTGCTGCTATTGGGTTAGAGGCTTAGTCCCCACAAGGAACGAGACTGCGATCTGCCCTCTTTCTTTCCACATTGCTTCTCGGCCTTTTGGCCATTATCAAGTTTAGTATCGACCTAGGCCCTTAGGGGTGCCCCTGCTGTCCAGCTGCGTCGTTGAGAATTTCTTCGATCTATCTAAGCCGTTTTGGTCCTTGTGGGGTACCCTCTGCTCGGCCTGGTAGGATCGTCAATTAAATTTGGCTTCACCTACCAAAAAAATGTTTAAAAAATTATAATTTTTGGTTATAAACTAATTTGGATTTTTTTTTTACTAAAAAGATAATGGAATACATTTTTGGCAAAGATTTATGATGAAATATTATTTATTTGCAAACTTTTATTAAAAAAAACACTTTTTTTCAAAATTTTTGGACGTTTTCATTTACATAGCAAAAAAATAAAAATCCCAGCAGAGAATAAATACCACCAAAATAAAGTATCTGTCTCAAAAAAAAAATGGTAAACAATTCATATGGGTACAGTGTTGCATGACCGCGCAATTGTCATTCAAAGTGTGATAGCACTGAAAGCTGAAAATTGCTGTGGTCAGGAAGGGGGTAAAAGTGTCCGGTCTGGAAGTGGGGAAAAGTGTCCGGTCTGGAAGTGGGGGAAAGTGTCCGGTCTGGAAGTGGTTAAGGAGCTGAGCTTGCTTGCCTAGAACTCTGCATTGCTGGTTCTGCTGGATAGCAAGCATTTGGCTATAAAGGAGGAAAGGAATTTACCTCTTGACTTAGGACAGCAGATTATTCCTACTCAGACCATTAATTGAAGAAACTTGTACATTGAGCAATTTAGATCACATCCTTAAAAGTGCTTTTGCAAATGAATTTCACAAAAGTGAACTTTATTTGGCCCAAGGTTGGAATTGCTCTCCAGAGCAGCATCAGCACATTTTTTCCATTCCTGATGGTATCGCCACCTTGTCGCGGTGGAATGGCTTGTGTGCCCAAATGACCCTTGGAGTTAGGCCAGCAGTAGACTTTGCTCCTGGCAGGGACACCCCAACCATAAAGGTCTAAAGATGATGGGCCAAACCAGGGGCGGACTGACATTCATAGATAGAGCCCCCGGGCAATAGGGGATCATGGGGCCCCTGTGTCCTTGCCCAAACTAAAAAAAAAAAGCCTATGAAAAAGGTACCAGGAGCATCTCATGGGGCCCCCTACTGACCCCTCGGGCCCTCGGGCAGTGCCCGAGTTTCCAAATGGTCAGTCCGCCCCCTGGGCCAAACTAAGAGCGATACTTACAAAAAAAAATATATTAAATGGCCACAACATAAAAGAGTAAAATTATAAATTATCTGTCTTTTCTATTGCCCCCCCCCCCCCCCAAAACCATTCCACCTCCATTACCTTTAATGACACTTTCATGATGTTGTATATTAACCCCTTCCCGCCTAAGGGTAAAACAAATGTTAATGCCTAAGCACAATTTTGAACTTTGACATTTGTTAGTAAAATCATACATATAATCACAACTACTTTGTGCATCCAGATGGAATATACCTTGTTATTTTCAGGAGGAATTGGGCTTTCATTTGGTGGTAAATGGTAATAGAAATCTCTTGATTTTTTTTTTATTATTATTATCAAAGGAAAACTGTCCCAAAATAGTACAAAATAGCTGTTTATTTCTTGCTACTACCCATAACCCACCACCCTTCACATACCTTTTACAGCAGCTGGTTTCACAGTTCCATAAGTATACTCTATCATTCTAATATGGAACCATTCCGTAGTTCTGGAATTGCAGCCAATCAGAAAAGGTCTGGCACTGTCAAATGACAGTACCAGAGCTTCCTAATTGGCTGCAGTTCCATGGCATCTGATTAGTTACACAATATTATTATTATACGGGATTTATATATTATTATTATACAGGATTTATATATTATTATTATTATACAGGATTTATATATTATTATTATTATACAGGATTTATATACCGTATTTGCCGGCGTATAAGACAACTTTTTTTGCCCTGAAAAACATGCCTCCAAGTGGGGGGGTCGTCTTATACGCCGGGTGCACTTCAGTTGCAATAGACATAGCTGCCATAGTGGCCTTCCGATACTTACGCGGTGCCCGCCCACCTCATTCTACATACCATTAAAAGTATCGCACGGTATCCAGTGAGGCCGCGGCGGGTCATCAGCGTGGCTGCGGCGATATCAGCAGCGATACAGGGGTGCCAGCCTTTTCAGCGTGACCAGCCCGTTCTGCTCGGCGGGAAGCAAAAATACAGCGCTCCGGCCCGCCCCTTGTCTACGCAGGGCTCGCACATGCGGACTTGCGCACTAGTGCCAATTATAGGGAGATGCAGGGACCTGGTAGTGACAGGGAGACAGGGAGGGCAGACAGGGAGCTAATACCAATGAGCGGTCAATCAGGCTTTGTATACAGCCAACAGCCAACCACAGTACTGGACCATTGTACACAAGGGCTTTACAATACAGCAGAAATAGAAAATGTCCAGCAGTCAAACCCCCTATCAACCCTATCATGGCACCAGCAAAAAGAAAGAGGGGGCAGTCTTATACGGCGAGTGATATAACAAAGTGCTGCTATATTTTGAGTGGAAATGTTGGGGGTGTCTTATACGCCGGGCAATCTTCTGTATTAGATTATTATACAGGATTGTTTATATTATTATTATACAGGATTTATATAATTATTATTATACAGGATTTATATAGCTCCAACCAGTTTGCTCAGCGCTTTA